AATGCTGGTTAGATCTGGAAAGTCAAGGTCAAAATAATCCTCACATATAATAGGTTTGACAGAGTGTTTTGGGTGTTGCTTCTTCAATGGTAATTTATTGGAAGATGTTCTGGAATGGCTATTCGATGGGATAAAATTTTGCTGTGATCGGCCTGCTCCTCGTGATCCACCTGCCCCGCTGTCTGGGTCATTATTTCCATGCTCACCTTTTTTGTGGTCTGAGCTGTATGATTCATGAAATCTTCTCTTTTGACCACTTGAAGATTGATGAATTCTATCAAAGTTGTTATCTTGGCTATTTCGAGATTGCTCATGAATGTAATCAATATTATCAGCATAAAACCGATCATCATCGTTATCATTAAAATCTGGATAACATCTGTGCCTTGTAGAAAATTTATTGCAACCACTTGAGGGTTCAGAATCTATATTTTTTGATGAATTTTCAGGGCGTGCATGTGGAAGTATACGATGTAACTTGTCATCAGAACTACCTTGTATGGAGTGGGGCTTCCTCAATGAACGATCTTCTGATGAAGAACTTTCACTCCTCTCATCCTGGCCCTTTTCCCACTCCTTTAACCCAGCCTGCAATTGTGGGTTATTTTTGAAAGCCTCTGCTAGTGGTGCCAGAGATCCATTGTTGAGTGCCTGAAAAATTTTCTCTTCTACTTCCTGTCTAGTTTTAGTAATGCTAGAAGCATTTGCAGGAGAGTGTTCAACAGGTGCAGCATTGTCATTCGAATCATATTGTTCTCCTTGTTCTCTGTTTTTGATTCTATCTGTTCTTTCAGTTTGTCTTTCTGAATGGAAGCCTTCAGTTTCATAGGAGTTACTGAATGCTAAATCAGCCTCTACATCAGAGCTTAGTTTACCTATATGCTTGAGAAGATTACGCTTCCTTTCTCCACGTATTCCAATGAGAAGCCTTTGAAGTTTATCTTGGGCATTTATTTCTTCCAAAGTCATTTGTTTATTGCCACTGCTTTCTTTCAGTTGTTTGAGTGCATTCAAGATTCTTTGTTCCTGCTGGTCCAGTTTTTGTGCTCGTCTCTCTGCTAAGATATCAGCAGGGTTTAGTTGTGCAACACTTTTATTAGGATATCTAGAAGACATCTGTAAACGACGGGAAAGAATAATATTTTCTCGTTTTACTCGTTCAGCTTCAGTTCGTTTCTCCGTTTCAATCTTTTCTTTTTTCAGTCTCCGTTGCTCTTCCAGTTCCCTCAGTTCCTTATCTTCACCTTCCAGCAATAGAGCTTCTGCCTTTGGTAAATCTTTATGCTGAGAGGGGTGGATTTTGCCAGGAGGGAGGGCTTGTCTTTCAATACTTATGTTTTGCTCTCCATAATATGCCCTAACTTTGCAGAAACGGATATTTCCCTTTAAAATTATTCGTACAACAAAAGAACTATGTTGGTAGAGCAGTTTGTCAGCTTCTGATGGTCTCATCATATTTTTGAAAGATGGAAAGTTTGTTATTTTATAGTAAATGTCGAAGAAATGTGACCTCATATATCTTAACCTATGATTTCTAGTTATCACATGATCCAGTATTTCAGCATGAAGTCCTCGATACTCACACAATTCACAGAAATATCTGTGAGAAGCACCATTGGACCTTTGATATTCAGTTACATATTCTAAGCCAACAACAGGTTGCTTTTCGGAAAGTTGTTCAAACTTTTTTTGAATATCAGCAACCTTTCCACCATGAGAAGGAACACTCGGCGGGTGGTTTCTATTTCTGAAAGCTAGAGTATTTTGTTTAAGTTTGTTAACATTCTTCAAATGTTTTTTGCCTATCAAATGAGTGTCAAGAACAATCTGTGAAGTACAACTGATATTGCATAAATCACAATAAAATTCAAATGGATCACCTTCTGCTTTCTTCTTTTTAGTTTCTGGTTCCCAGCCATCATGTTCATAATAATCACTATTATCATGTAGAGTTCGTCCATAAGATGGAGTGAATATCTTCAGTTCACTTTTTTGCTTCGATGGCTCTTCATAAAACTTACTTTTGTCAGATTGCAACAATTTAAGAAGATCACCAACGGCTTTCGGATGAGGTTTACTGCTTTTATTTTCTTCAGACTTTTCAGGTTTAACAAGAATCTCGGAGTCTGGTCTATTCCCAGTTTCAACATTTGAATAGGACTGTTTTTGTTTTTCATTGGAATTACCAGATTCTCTTCTTAATTTGCTTATCAACGCCTCAACTGCATGTTCATTCTCCATAATCCAAACTTTTTTAAACTATTCTACTAGTTGTTTCTAAGCTAAGTATACTGTTCAACACACAAGAAGGAAATAAAATATGTCATAGCCAGTTCGCACCGGTTCTATAGAACCGTCAAGGAATTTTATGAGATCAGCGAACCGTTAGCTTTACTGATTACTGTCAATGTTCTGTTTGTAACAGAACCGGCTGAAAAATATGACTTTTGTGATGGAACCGGCTGACAAAAAATTTGAATCCCGCCACTGGTTATAGCATATGACCAAATAGAGCAATTTGAATTTCTTAGGAATGTTGTTTTAATGGTTGAAATCTTACTTGAAACACCAACTTTGCAGAATAACATCCAAATTGTCGCATAATTTCATTTAGAATTCTGTAGTTAGTAAATTAATACAGTAATATAGTGTACTGTAGCGAGTACGTATTGGGATAGTTACTGTGTATCTCAATATTTTCACCATGTATTGTTAATAGTGCATATTATTCGCCTGAAACAAGGTCGTTGCTCTAATTCATTTCCTTTATGATATAATTCCCTTGCTCAGAGTTGCTTGTCTTCAACGTTCTTTGTTAGTTAGAAATTTGGTTTCATGACACATATGTATTTTTCGTTATCTGTTTTTCGGATCAATCGGATTGTGCAACTACAATATACAACATTTGGCATTCAATACAGTGTGTGCTTCATTGACCCCTGAAGGAGTCACACTCTGTTAACGTGTGTTCAATAACATGGTAGTCGGTAGTGTGGACACGCAGATAGGGTAATACTAATAGCCCCCTATATTTTGTGAAATATTACATGCTATTAATATGAAAGGGTTAAATACATTATGATCCATAGTTACACATTGCACAGTCGCTATACAGTACAAACAAAAAATGTTCCAATTAACAACTTTCTATATAGAAAATAACTTCAACCATCAGTATAAAATGATAAGCATTAAATGACCGAATGATCAATACCGGTACCTCCTACTGTTCTTAGTCAATTGAACAATTTTATTAGCCTCTAAATACTGAAATAGTAATTCATTCACCATGTTTCCTTATAGGCAATCTTTGAAACATCTACTCGCAGATTTGCTTCACAATGCATGCAAGGAACAAATGAAGTTTACATCAAAATATTTACAAACAATCCGATGAATCTTCCATGTTCCTTTCGAAGTAATCCTGTGCAATACGGTAACAACCTTAATTCCTACCGTACCGGTACCTGTACCGTATACTATATTTATTTTGGCTGAATGTCTATGGGTAGAAAAAAAATCCTAGTTTTCGTTCCCCGCGACTTCCTTGTCCGAGTAAATGGGGGGGGGGGGGTAATTGTATTAATTTCTTTCTGAATTTCGTATGTTATTTTTTTACTGGATAAAAAATAAACTCGATCAGGACATTCAGACATTGTTACCCTTCATGCACGGTTCCTTTAATTACCGGAAACTGGGGGGGGGGGGGCTGGTATTTTTCAATTATCGGAACGGACCCTAAATTGCCGGAACGGAGTGAAAAACCTACATAAACCTACCGGAACGGACTTGTACTTGTAGATGTCTTGCGAAGGACATTTTATGTCCCTCTAAGCGATTTCTCAAGTATAATGGGAAAATTTGGGGGATAAAATGATAGAAAATAACAATTTCATTTTGCGTTACCTGGCGGATGTAAATTGAGCAATGAATTCCTGAATCATCTCTTATCAATATGAATTAATGATAAAAATCGATAATCAAAACCTTCTTTCAACCTTTAATTTTCTATGTAGATAAGATAACGTAGTCATAGATTCAGATTGAAACAAATAATCTTTCTTGCGTTTCTGCGCAGGTATTGTAACTATGTAGCTGAACATTTTATATTGGAACTGGTTGAAGTACCTGACCTTAAATTATGATGAAAGTGGGGATGTCGTTGGATTTCATCAAATATGAAATATTTGTGATATATATGTAAATATGATATATATGTGATATATATATATCGGTAAATATATAAAACCTTACATAATTGTTTTAATATATCAATAACGTTAACATATTTGACAAAATACTTGAATTCAAAATTTCAGCATAGGAATATGCGAGAGTTGACCACGAGTTGAAAACGATTGTCGCTATACCCGTTATAGCCAGGAGGGTTCAAAGGGCTCCTACTGATTTCTTTGCGGATAACACAGCTTCGAGCCTCCAAAGTTGAAATGCAGCAGGACCAGCGCTGGGCTGTTCGTCCTGGCCGGAGATTTCCTTGCGACAGAAAAGCCACAGGTACCGTACTCAGGCTGGCTGGCCATTTCAAACAATCAACTTATGTCAAATATAGACATAATCACTGCAGATACTGAACTATTAGTCCTACAGAACCCTAGCCTGAAACTACAAACCTTCAAATATGAAATCCCTTGGTTTTAGAGGTCTGTGTACCGTACTTCTAGAAATGAGTGCCAAAAGCCCTCTAAGGGGCCACGAGCCATAAAAACTTAGAAGGTTGGGAGCCACAGCTTTAATTAGATGTCGCTGATCCTGATGACCACGCCACGTCCTATCATACGGTAAACGTTCGAACAAATACCCGGCTCAACTTCACTGAGATATTCTGCAACAATGAATATATCAACACCTCGACGCTCCTTACGCTAAATTACACAGCGGCTTTTAGCGGCGAAGCCACTCATCCCCAACTTCAACCCTACCAAACAATTTTCTGATATTGGTTTCAGCAATTCGACACAGAAAAATAATGAACACATTCCTTTTTATCATAGAAAAGCAATTTATTTAAGCAAGTATTTTTCCATAGAAATTTATTCTAATATAAAATGTACGGTAATAGAAACATCTGAAATGCAAATAAGACGAGAATTGCATTCACAAAGAAAGTACATGACCAGAAACAATAGGCATGAGGCCCGAAGTGGGAAATTTCGATGTTTTATGAAATGGCCTGTGGTTGAAGCTTCCCACCATATTGCTTGGAACAGCACAAAGTAGGGGTATTGGATCCACACAAAGACAAAAACCACTGCTGCTAAGAGCTATTACCAAATCAACAAAGTAAACTTAGACAACAGGTACAATACAAATGAACCAACTCTAATATATCATCCATGAGGAAGTTAGCATATAATTGGTAGTCCTCGAAAACATTCGATGCCAGGAATAAATAACCACTAGGTCTTGGAAACTATAGATACATTAAATTTAGCTTCAATAAAAAGACACTGAAAAGATGATAAAAATAGACAAATGCTATTGTTGATATAATCAAAAGTAATTTCGTTAATGATGCTGACACAGTGCAAATTAGTAGCAAATATAACTTGTGTTATATAAACAATATACAAAAAACTTTTATAAACTCTTTACAATAGGGATAATAATTTGCTCTCATTGAGCACAAGCTTGTATGCGAAGTGATAAATATAACTCTTTGATCAGGCATTGTTCAAGTAAAATAAACCACCACTGCATAAGATAACAGAATAATGAACTTGGAACAAAATCTGTGATGCCTGAGAAACGGGCTATTCATTAACAAAGAATAATCCATACATATCCATCATGATTTGACGCAGTACGCTGGTAGAGAAATAATTACAAATCAGACACATCATTTGTTTTTCTGTGTTTCAGCAGATGTTGACTCGTATTTCTTCGGATCAGTTTTCCTATGATTTGGAAGAAGTTGTTTGTCTTCAGTTTCATGGAGAACTGATACCTGTACAGTACATTCGTTAGCAAGATGTGATTATTTTTTTTAAAAATGGACACTTATGTACAGGGCTGTGCAGTATGTATTTTTTATTGGTATTAAAGACGACTTCTAGAGTCTGAGCTTTGGTTTTCATGAAGTCAGGGGACCAAATTTGCAATACAAACATACAAGCCACAATCAAATTTATCATAGCCCAGATTTTGGTATGCTGGAGAGAAATTACAAATTTCCGAACTGAGAGTCAAAGTTTAAATATCCTATTATCTGATTCTGAAGTGATACTGCCGTTCCTGTACTGCGCTTTTTATGAGTATATTGAGGTAACGAATTTAAACATAATTTGAAGGCTAATTTTTAATAATAAATAGTGCACAATTCAAACTTGCCACAAAATGCCAGACCAATCACAACTAACAGCCAGCAACAATAAGATCAAATCGCAGAATTCAGGAATTAGTATCAAATTTATGACATTAAACAAAAAATTTGTATAGGCCTTTATAAAACCACAACATTCGATTTCTTAACGAAGTCCCTCAAGATGGAGCCTATTTGGGAAGCCGATGGTCAACATTTGCTGGTGAGTGGAGAACTATATTGAGACTAAACACTATTCTTATTTACTTGGTCATTATTTAAAATGGTTGGCTCGACACTACCAAAGTTACATATATGTAGAGATTATAAAAACAGTGATGTCTCACATGGAGTGGCAGTGTGTCTCTTAGAAGCTGACATCGATATTCATTCATACCATTATCTGAGAACGGACACCAACATAAAATCTGGAAGCAAAATTTAAGTCAGAAGGTTCACTTAGTTAAAACGAAGTTTAATTCAATTGAAATACTAGACAGAAGTGATACTAGAAGTGAGGAAGGACATCAGAATTGATTTCATAAACCTAATCTTTCAACTAGTACCTTTGAATTTCATACTTACAACATCACAGATGAAACCAAATGGAACCCAAGCTGGAAGCATTCCAGTAGAAAATGATGATATCTGAAATAAAAAATATTCTGTATTGCTTGACAGTGTATCAGAGACTTTCAGAGTTCTACCAAATTCCATTGCAACTAGTTGATAATCAAAAAAATTTAAAACATAAGAAATACATTTGTAAGAGTAATATTGATTAGTTCGCGAAATATATATTGATAATCTTAATGTGGTCTATACTCTATAGCTGCGGCCCGGTATGTTGGGGAATTCAATCAGGCTCACCCGATGCTGCCACAACCAAAGTAAAACCAAATTTTGATGTTTCAGCTAAAAAATAGCTCAAGGAATTTTTTGAGATTGCGATTAAATTTAGGTTTAGCATGAGGCTTATTGTTTTTCACTTTTGCTTTTGTAACACTGTAAACATTGATCATAATATGTTACTTTTTATGTCACACTTACATAGCCCGCCAGTCAAGGTGGGCAAAATTTTTGGCCCATGGTCAAAAACCTTGCTGCCCACCCCTGCTCTATAGCGATATGACGACTAATAAGAATATCAGTTAAGGTAGCACAGGACAGAAAATAAAAGTGAAATGCTTTGCAGCTATGAAAAACACGTCTTGAAAATCTTCACCTTTGCAAGAGATGTTTGACTATCAAAAGGTAAAAAAGATATTTCCACAACATCCAACCAACCAGCTGGTGTGTAAGCAAATATTTGCATCCAGTAATCCTGGTGTCTGACCTAAGGATTAAAATAGTAGAATTAAGGAGAAAAAAATTGAACCTACATTAATGATATTGGTATTAACAATAAATAAAACAATGTATAATAAATGAGTATTTACTGTTATTTTAGATTAATAATTGATAAACAAATAGCATATTCCTACTCTTTTAAACAAATCAAATATCTGACATCATGATCATAATATATATTGCATAATTACATGCAGTTTAGTATGACACAGTGACACAATTTGCATGTTCAGTCATTTTTGCTGAAGATTCGTTACCTTATTTACAAAGTATTCAGAGGGATGTTCTGTTTCGTTTAGTTTTCCAACTACATTCATCATTTCTTCAATACATTGTTCTGGATCTCCTTCAACTTTCCAACTAAAAATGATCAATGATTACTAAATTCTAGAAAGCACAATCCCCTCTAACAATCAGTAGGCCTATTGATTTAGCAGAATTATGATTACTCATCAAATACTGAAATACCAATTCACAAACACCGGAATATTTTATTACTGCTAAAGATGGAAAACTTCATTTAAATTTAATATTGAGTAGAATATTTATTGATTTATATAAAAAGACTTTGTCATTATCAATTATCATTAGTGTATTAAAGAGATGTTTTCCATAGAACCCCTGAATAATAAATAGTGCACAATTCATACTTGCCACAAAGTGTCAGACCAACCTCAACTAACAGCCAAAAAAAATAAGATCGAATCGCAAAATTTAGGAACTAGTATTAAATTTATGACATTGAAAAAAAATAATACAGTTATAGCAAAGCTAAGTTCAAAAATATCACCTTTCAGTGTATGTATGAAGTGTTTTTGACCCTGGCATCCATGTTCCAGGTCTGAGAAAGCTCTTCACAGGCGCTTGCAATTGCGCAGGGAAACAGGGCATCTTGCAGTCTTTAATGCAATTCTACTAAGAGCACTAGCCTAACTAGATCTATCAACGCAAGTCATAAGACTGTAAACATATTTAGGTCTTGGTACGGTAATTTCAGGAAAAAAACACGTTCCTGTTCTAAATACTGAAATAACAGAATAAAGAATGGTGTAACAATTCGTGTCTCTGCAGTTGGCGAACAGTTTCCTTTTATGAACTGTCTGCTGTGCTATGCGATTTAGTCTTGAACAAACCGTAATGTCGGGGTCCTATTTTGTCAGCTGATTGTGATTTCTTGGCCACCACTTTTCCCAAAACTGTTTTCACTTCTCTGCATTTCTTTTTTTTTTTTTTTTTTGTGCCAAATAAATTCCAATGCCAAACGGAATTTTCGTATTAATATTTTGGTATCAAATCATTTTATTATAAATATATAAATAGATATTTTTTTTGTTTCCATGTTTTTGTTTATCATTTTTTAATTTAATCCCATTCCCCCCAATACATATGAATAGTAAAAATCAAAATAAAGACAAAATTCATACCATTACCATGATGTCATTAATTTAATATAATCCAATATATGTCCAAAAAAGTTGAGTTAATCCACATGTAATCCACTCAGCAGTTAGTTGAATATAATTTTAATTTACAGGTAATCAGTTTTTATTTTAATTTTTTAGTTAGCATGAAAAATACAAGAATACAAAAATTAGACAGAGAATATGGAAAAATCCACGCTTTCATATTGGGTTTTTCCCATTCGCCATCTATGTTTCATAGTCGATACATCTTCCTCTTATGAAAATGATGTACAGATAACATACTTTCAATAATTTTCAGAGTATGGTGTTGCATATAAACTTACATCATGATTGACCTATGTAAAAGATCATCCATGTGCTCATATAACAATAATTCATTTCTTTCGCTTGCTTTTAGTAAATTTAAAATCCCTACCAGTTTACACTTGAAAATCGACTGCATACTACTTTTCATTTTATCTATTTCATCATATTTTACTGAATTTCGATATTCCCAAATTGTTGATTTTCCGCATAATATTGTGATTAATTTTGATTTGCATTCCGAATCGTTTGCTATAATAGTATTTTGATTAATATCTATGCAACACTTCTCTGCATTTCCTCGCAACGCTGCAAGGACGAATGAATTCGCGCTCGCGCAGCGCAATTGACCCTTGACCCAGCAATGATCGAGAACGTAAATTTGGGATACCGAGCAATACACAAATCGCCCAAGTATATCCACCCTAAAGAGTCCCAACGCCTGCTTACTGCTTCTATAACTCTTTTTCTCAGCTAATATAACTGTTGAGATTTTACATACCTCTCCATGTCATAAACCTCTCAAATGTAAAATGCTTTTGGAGTGAAAGCCTACCCAATTGGGGTATCGTAATTCTGCAAGACAAAGCTCGAAACTCAAAAAAATGCTCTTCAGAAACAGACAAAAAAAAAACATGAAAAATGCTTTTCAAATCCAGTGTTATAGGTGTAACAGTAATTCACTAAGCATAAGAAGCAAAAACACCAGCGGATAACTACAATGGAAATAGATATAACGTAAAGATATGTTAAAAACTGACATTTTACTATAGAAGAATCGCAACGAGACTTGAATCAAGTTTTGCCAGGACACTATAACTGAAGTAACACAACCAGTTGATGTTCGGTAATAGGCATTCGAGATATTCACTGGTATGCAGAAAACCAAATGATAGAAGTCTTAACAAGAATGCCATATCTATATGAATGATCATGAAATAGTAAAATCACCGGTAATCAAAATTCCTCATTCAAACAATAAGAATAGACGATATCTTAAGCCAATTTGAAAACAATTTATATTATATTTAAGCAATCCTTAGATTACGTGGAGAAGATGGCATAACAAGATACAGAACATAAAATAAAGAAACACACAATGATAAACTGTTCACAATAGTAATCAACAATTAAAATGACAATTAATGAAAGTGAGGCAAAAATGGGTTGCACATTTGGTCTCATACAATCTACCATAGTCCGGGTTACATTCAATTTAACACAACTACTCCAATTGAGACAAATTTAGAGTGCAAATCAATGAAACATATTTTGTACCTACTACATAAGTAAATTCTTTAAGTGCGCAGTATAATGTTGTATAAGAGCTCATCTGAAAGTGAGGAATGGTATCATGCTACCCATTAATTTGGATATAAATTTAGCAGAAAATAAAGAGTACATCAAAATCATTCCACATGTTAAATATTAAACACCAATTCAGAATCGAAAAACTATAATAATTAATAACGATATCATTAATAACACTGGTTAGCTGATTAGCTTTGGTCAACTAGAAATACATTTAATTTAAAGAATTAGGTGAGACAAATAAACCAACATTTATATAAATATCTAACGTTTAATAAAATATTCATCTGAAATTAAACAATAAAGTTATATTTTGAACTGATTTGTTTTACCAGAACTCTGTACATTGATTAATGTTAAATTTCCATGATACAATGGCATATATGTAAACCAGGTTCATACATTTTTTGTGGTATTTGTATCTATATTCAAATTGAAGTGGTAAGAAGTCCTCTCAAGGATGTCAAATTTTTGTATACAATCTGCACGTAACGTAACATTTAGTGGATTCATGGCTATGCATGCTTAGCTTGTATTGCAATGAAAGAATGCTTAGATAGATACGCACAAGGAAAACCCCACTAAGTCTAAAAATTGAAATTGCAACTATCATTGGATGAAGGCAGACTTGCTCAATCACTTGATAATCTTTGTAGCAAAATATGTAGCAACAGGAACAAGAATAATTAGCGGCATCATGTTCTTTATTTTACCTAATACATTTCGTCCTCTGTGCAGTCTTCCGTTCGATGCCCGAACACTAAGAAGAGTAAATAGGGAATTTTAGAAGACATATATAATGATGAACTCGATAGTTTTGAAGAAATATATACATGAAAGTATGCGCACCAAGTTGGCGCACAACCTGAACTCAGGTCGTGTACCAGGTTAGGGTTCAGGTTATGCGACATCTTGGTGCACATACTTCAGGAGCACCCAAAAAAGAATATTATACAAAATAGCAAAGAACATATTATTCTCTCAGTTATAGAATGTACACACGAATACACTACATACAAATTAAACATGTTAGAGTCAATAATATAATCAAACTACAGTCAAACAAAACAATAAATAGCAAATTTGAGATCAAGATTGAATGTTAATTTGGGCAAAACCTCAAGAAGCATAGACTGAATGATCTGTTATCATTGCTGCTGAATTTTTTTTGCACACAGCAAATTGTAAAAAATGGATTTTTATTACAATATATCATGTTGAGATGAATTGAAATCTATAGATAACGCACATCCAAAATAATCATTTATGAAAAAAAAATAACAATTCACCAAGTGGCCAATGGAGTTTTGTTAATGGCATTCAGCCTCACCATATAAATGACATGTCATTATCATATTTTGACAACAAATCCATTTTAAGAAGATAAATATGTGGCATAACAATTTGGTGCTGACGTGAGAGTGTTCGGGATGCATTGACAAAATCTGATTTACACAATTCATGACCGGATTCTATATATTACTTTTTGGCAAGAAACCCCACTTTAGGGCGAAAATGACCAGAATATTTTGAAGTCAGTAATGGACGTGTTGGTATGCCATAATTCTAAGTTAAAATACTGATCAGTTAATTTATGAAGGCAAATTCATTAAAAAACAATTTTTTTTAGTGATTTGATAGCCTGATTGCATATTCTCTGGCAATGACATTTTCATTCAAATCAATAACAAATTCTACATAATTAGTTCACTAGCAATCTCTCAACCTAACCAGATAAAATCTTGCTCACTGGAAACACTTTGTACACTCTTCAGTGCTGTGTGTAAAATCTGACAATTTATTAAAAAATCAAGTCAGTTACAAATGGATCTTGGTTGCAAATAACATAAGTTTCAAAATCAATAAGTACGCTACATATACTAGAGTTATTGTATGTTCAGAGCTTTGTACGGGGCAACAACGGGGTGAAATACCTCAAAAAGTGCCCAGTATTTATAATAACTATTTTAGTAAATTTGAACAATTATGACAAAAGATCAATTTTAACACCATAAATTAGTAGTATATTGAATTGGGCAAAGGCAGGGATGGAAAAACTACAGCCTGTGGGCCAGCCGTATGTGGCCCGCCAAAGCATTTTATGCGGACTCGTGCTAATGGTTAAAGTTTCGAATATTTCCTAGAACTATGTACAAAATTTTGATTCATTTTTAAACTTCATTTAAAATGCTTTTTTTTCATCACTGGTTCAATAATGTCTGATATCATTAGATTTAACACTGTCATAGTGAATGGGAATAGTAATTGTGATGTCACGTCTCGAGTGCTTTTTTCAATGCAGCACTTCGCTAAAAAGAACTTTGCTCAACCTGGGTGTCCTAACCCATTTACAGTATTTCAACTCCTAATTAGACTTTCGAATAATAGCCCATATTGAACAATCCATGTCATAGTTGAATTCGCCATTTCAATCCATCCATACTGTCACTGTCTTAATGTTCAAAGCCAGAACATTATTCATCTGCAGACATACATGACAACAGTGTAATTGAAGTGTAACATACCTTCACAATTATCACAATATGTCCGTTCCTCCCCTCGTTGTGTTGCATTATGAGTTGTAGGAGGAAGATCTGACATATCATATTGCATTGAAGATTGTGTTGGACAATCATCAGTGTCATGGGCATCAAATATGTCACAAATATCACAAAAAAGTCTAGGAGCAGCCCGTGATTGATGGTCCCTAAAAGAATGAAGATAAAATACAACTTTCACAGTGTAAGGAAAAATACCTGTAAATTCTGATAAAAGACACAATGGGTTGATGAACAGGGATTGGGCACATGAATACGCTTGTCATGTTGTGAGCATGTGAGATACAGAGAAAATTACTAACCAGTAAAAAAGGGAAATTGGAATAATGGCCTATTTTTATATTTTTTGCGTCTGGTAAAGATTCTGAATACACATCTAGTAATCATACATGAGTGAGAAGGTAGAGGGCTTAGCATGGAAAGCAAGTGCTGGAATATACCTAACAAAGATAATTTTGAAATGACACTTGACAGTTCGAATATTTATTAGGTTCATCGCATTTTTCTTACTTCATTGCATCTCTACGGTTGTGTGTGTGCATGCGTGAAAGTGTGTGCAAATTAATTTGATTCTTTTTGGTGAGTGAACACGTACCACTTCAGTCAAAACCTTCCAACTCAAATTCTGCATGCTTCAAACCCCACTTAAAGTTTAGGTTTGCTCTCCTGATTCCATAATCAGTTTTTATTTATTTGTATTATTTTACTATTTATCATCTGTTATGCTAATTATGGAGTCTAAATAAACTTATATAAGTTTGTGTTCTAACTTCCCACTCGACATCCAAATTCAGATGCTCTAAACCAACGGTGCACAACCTGCGGCCGTCGCGAAAAAAAAATGCGGCCGTCTACATACAAAATCCTATGAAAAAAAGTTCAAAATATAGGATTTGGCGGCTATGCTGGCGTATATTGAAGCAAAACAGAAGCACTGTAAAAAAGTCAGACGACACGATGCGTCACAATCTAGATGGTGTATTTGCTGCCAGTTACCTCACTTTGCAAATTTATCTGCCCACATGCAAGAACAAAGGAGTCATTAAATTGCTACAATTCTTTGCAAACTTTTATAGAATAAATTCATAAAAATATTTGACATTTTATTATACTTTTGGGGACAAGAAAATGGGGGCGACCGCCCCTCCCCGACTTTCGATTTTTTTCAAAATTGTGCAACCATTATGCAACTTGCTGAATATATGCTCTTGCTGCTCTAGAATAGGTCCACCAAAAAAAAATCCTTTAAAAATGCGAATATTATACTTCTAAGTAGTCCTACATACTTCATAATTGGGCAGAGTGCACCTCGCACGGGTCAAATACGCGGTTATGACGTCATAAAGCCAAAAAATTCGCGCGCCTTCGGCGCGTTATTAACCTCCTGGCGGCCGTATTGTATAAAAATAAATGCAATGTGGCCGCCAATAGCAAAAAGGTTGTGCACCACTGCTCTAAACTATGTCAAAAATGACATAAAATTTTGCTTCGTTAATTCAGTATCAATTGTATATGAATAGAAATATTGAAGTTGAGTTATAAAATATTCATTTTCGAATAGTTTAATAAAGTAAAAATATTGTTTAAAATAAATTTTAGCAATATCTTATTTAATATAGCTTGTACATTGACATTTTCAAATACTCACCCTGATTCATGTTCATATTCATTTGCAACTTGCATTGGATCGACATCTCCATCGTTCAATAACATTGATTCTAATTCAGAGATTTTTTCATTCAATTCACTGTTTTTATTTTGTTGATCAACAATAACTGAATTTAGAAAATCAATTTGTCCCCTTAATTCTTCATCCCCACCTACACCACTGTCTTCAGTAGAAGCAGAATGAGCTGAAAATATGAAATATCAGATCTCACTGCAAATTTAGATTACAGTTCAAAGGCATCATTAATGGTGGAATTTTTATCTAGTGGGTCTTCATACTTATCAAAGCACAGTGAAGCCAATAAAAGACCTTATAAGATACAGTTGGTTTGAGATTAACTGCCAAAACAATAACATACCATCAGTTACCACCTAAGGATGACGAGGCCCCGTTGAAGAAAAGATTAGCAATCCTTCTCACATTCATGCTAATCAGAGGTGTTGTGACAAACCTTACATTCCTGACACGATGCGTAAATCAATGGTTCCATTTTCAGTATATGACACTGAGATTTTGGTACTCCCGTAGTGTGTGTACCAGGTTAGGGTTGGGCCATACTGTTATTCCGATTTTCCTTATTTTATTTCTATTACAAGTTCGGGGACTGTATGTGTTAGCCACGTAAATATACCCCCCACCCATGGGTTTCAGTCCCTTTACACAACTTGATCTAAAGTAGACAGATAAAATTAGTTACTTTCATATTGGTTCACATAATTCTGAAGCACCAGGATTTTAATTCATAAATTTCAGTATTTCAAGAGTTGATATTTGTATAAATTGATTAATATCATAGTACGAGGAATCATAATCTGAAATGCACTTTTCTATATCTACTTTTTAAATATGACATATAAAATTTAGTCTATTTACGATCTGATTAGTATACTTCTCATAAAATTGCTAAATTCTATTCTTAGCATAAAGTGAGGAGTGAATAAGTTAACTGAAAATTATCAAGGTAGATGACCTGGAATGTACTCTGATCTACTTATGCAGTCCTTAAACAGAGCACATACGTGCATGGGATACTACATGAAAAATTACATTTTGGAATAGTAGAATCCAACCAAAAAACACACTTTATTGATGGGAGGAAATAAAAGCAATTTCACTTACTTAATGGAGAAGACTTCAATGATCTGAGTTGAGTGTTCAAATCATCTTTCTCTCTCTCAATATTTTTCAATGATTCCTTCAAACTTACAACAATTATATTTTCACTTTTTAACAGTGTGATCTGGAATTGATCAAAAAGATTTTTATACAACAAAAATCCCATCGTCTGTTTGCGTTTGATAGTACTGATGCTATTCATTATCAGGAGATTGGATTTAATGGTTACATAGGGAAGGAACAAGATGGAAATAAACTTATATTATTTTTCCAATATTCAAAATCTGTACAATAAAGTAAAACCATAAATAAATGAATAAAGACATATTGAGTACATCTTAGTACTTTGTATATGTAAATGTACGTGCACATACGCAACAAGCTTGTGAGATAATTAAGACCAAAAATATACAATTTCAGCCCCAGAATCAAGATTTGAGGAGTCTAGATTTTTCTGTTGATATTAGATCAGGAGTTGTTCCAGTGGGGAGCCGAATTTGAAATTTCCAAAAAGGACAAATGAGGATTCACAAGCGCTAAAGATTTCATAGTTTAAATTTTGCTATTAACTTTTTTCAGCGAAAAATCGAATCGAAGCATTCGAATACTTTTTCAGCTAATTATCGAATAATTCCAAATAATGGCCACTTTTCACCGTCAGCAGGGTGTTTTGTTTGAGGAAAATCTCCAAACGATTTTCTTCGCTTTGTCACATGATGTTATAACAATGAAATAGAATCGGCACATTTCTTCAATTCTAATTCTCGACTTTGAATCTCACATAAAATACACAATACCTCTTGCTGTAATCCTTCAGTCTGTTTTCTTGATTCCTCTACAAGTGACGTTGTTATGTCGATGGTTTGTTGCAATGATTCTCGTTCTTTTGCAAATTCTCGTTTTAAAACACTTTCCCTGAAATCCATATGCTAACCATTACAAACATTCTCAACAACACTAGACAAATACTCACTATAATTATGAAGGCTGAAAAAGATAACTGCATATGGAGAATATTCCTAACATTTATTATGGACTAAATTTGTTCCTAGGTTTTGTATTAGTTTTTATATAAATTGCATTATTCTTATGTTAAACCTGTTAAACTATCACACTAGTGGGTAATGAATGTTTCACAGACCTTCAACCCCAGGAAAATTCCTATAAATTTCTTCCTGTACTTTACATCGCAATATTTTTGATGCCTAATTTTGAAAGTGATGATTGTCGAGGAGATATAACAATCAAGTTTTTGATCCATAATTAAATTTCGAAAACATTTAATAACTGAGAAATAGCATGCAAAACCAGTAAAATGAGGTAATGTCTACCTCAAAATCTGAGTGTTTTACGGAATGTTACATAAATTACCGAGGAATACGATGTTCGGAGGAACATCCATCGATTAATGAAAATAAAGATTTTGACAAATAATATGATTTCCCAAGAAAATATCAATCTCAAAACCAACTAAATATCTTTAAAATTCACATCCTTATTGCACAATAAAATTTGTTAAGCATTATGCTGGATTAAGTATATTATAGTATTCAACTTTGCAAACCATGCATTTGGTTAGTAAGTTAGTATAAAAAAAAATCACATAACAAAAATCAATAGTACTAAATTATTTCAAACACAGGTCCAAATTAAAACAAAAGATTAACCAAACATGCAAACTCTAAATAAGTCCTCAAATTGAAAGAAACAGCATCTCCTAACTAACTGCTTAAAAGAGTCAACTTAAAACTTGAAATTTTTGAGAGGGTATTTGACTTAGCAATAAGGAATGGTGAAATAAGACTCACCACGTCGATTAATTATATTAAATCCTAGTTAAGATTTTCAGAATACATATATACCTATTCCATGAATCGCGAACCTTTTTGTCAAGGGAGCTATAAAGGATACATATTTTCAATTGCATTTCCGTGCAAGCCATATAGCATTTCTTCACTTACACTTAAAATTTTTACTACAAAGTCTATAATGTCAATATACATTTAATGTGGCTTCTGATGCTCACATGCGCCCATGCGGCACAAGTTGAAATCTACGATACTCATCACCCTTCTTTCGTTTATGGAAGAAATAACTCAAAAAAATGGATATAACATTTGAATTCTGTCTAATGTAACACCAACACCATAATCAAATCGCTTTGCAAAATTACATTAAACCAAACTCAAAACAGATAAGTATTAGCAACACCATTCATGCTTAAATTAATAAACATGCAACTTTAGCAAAACATAGTCTTTGGACAAATTGTGTTTCATAGTTTTCTCCCAAGAGCATAGTGTTCTCAAATTGTAAAATAGAACTATTGCATTGTTATCATGATAAAATATGATAAAGGAATAGGGCTTTTAAAATTTGCTAGAATTATATTTTTATAATCCTGTGCCAGTGTATGCAGTCATAATTTATATGAATTAAAACAGTGCAGGAACCCTCTAAAATTTGATTGGGTTCATCTTTATGACACAAAACTTTAAATAGATCTTGGTAGAGAATCTAGGAATTATTATTTGCCAAAAGAATATGTTTCACCAAAAGTAGTATATATATCGTGATCAGCATTCATTGCATTGCATTTATACCTTTCTTCAATATCTGGTATGCTGAGAATGTAAAGATTGGGTTAAAAACGAATGTGGTTTACATAGAGAAAAAATCCTACCGAATCTCAATGTTATAGTGATAAGTATTTTCTAATTTCCAGGATATTCATAGACAATGAATATCTGGCTCAGCTGCTAGCCTATTGGTGGTGATTGACAATTTTAGGAAAATATTTACAATTTTAGGTTGATTGGAATAAATCCCAAACTAGCATATACAAGGCTGTATTCAGCAAGTAATTTAGTATTTTCATAATTTCGAATGGCACAAAGATGTCAATGTCTAAATAACAACAGTTAACTGCATAAAACTTCATTTGATGCATATTATATAGTGTAATAATAAACCTTGAAATAAACCTAGAAAAAAATATAAATTGAAGCCACTGCTCAAATTTTCTAAAACACTACTTTCAGTCAACAAGGTTGAAACAAACCAATCACACAAAACTTAGCAATGTTATAAAACGACAAGCTATTAAGTTAACAGATTATCATAAAAACTTTTTAACCTTTTTTCCATCTTGTTTAGTTTTGCTTGCACTTTGTCATGTACTTCTGTGAGCTGGAATTGCATTATAAATTTTAAAACTAAAACCTATTTTTTTAAACAAATTGTATTTAACTATTGTGAAGTTATCAGAAAAATATAGCGTTTACAAAACCATAATCCTAAATTTTAAAAAATTTTGAGGTCTGAAAATGTTCTGAAAAACTTGGCTAGATAATGTTTTATTTGCCCAGGATAATTTATAAGACAGTTCAGTTATATTGATAAAATAATGACCTCAATATTTCTACTAGTTATTGAGTACAATCAAATTCCATATAAGGTCATAAAGCCAATCTCCATTTTACATCGGATTTTCCCGAATAAGTTTACCATTAATACATTCGAACATTCTGATCTATATCGCCAGCTTAACACCTGTTTGACTACACATCAAAATCATGATGCAGAGCAGATAATAATAAGCCAAACACATACAGATTTAAACCGTTCTTCCAATTTTCTATATTCTTCTTTATGGTTAACGTTATCTGCTTCTAAGATAAGAATTTTGCTTCTGTGATCTTTATCAATCTAGAAATATGTTTGCATCACATTATTAGCAGTTATAGCCAATGAAAAATGAAATTTGTTTTGAATTGGGAATGCTTTAAAGTATGCTTTGTTTAAAATGAGTTGTATTATATTTATATTTTCAGTTAAGGACCATTTTGTTTTTGTTTAAAAAATGTTTGCATCTTTTTATTGGAATAGATAATAAAATAGGGTTTGAAATGGATGCAAAACAAACATATCAATTTACTAAAAATCGAGAAATAAAATCTAAAATCAGTAATGACAAAAATAATCTAGTGTACAAATGAATAGCCACAGATGAATGATTATGGATCTAACCAAACAATAAGAACTCGCACCATGATGATTTTTTCATATCATGTATAACAATATGATATATCTTTATACACGGCTAAGTATGGATCATTAAGTTTACCTTAACTATTGCAAGTATTTGGAATAAAAATAGATTATGACAATTAAGAATGTAGTTGCCTTTACAGCATTATTTTTGAGAGAATAGTGAGCATTTATGTATTTTCTAGATCAAAATAGCATCAAAGACTTTCTAATAATTGAATAAATCGGAGAATTGGGCTATATAGCCATAGGGCAAGGGATGTGCAACAGGCAGCCCCTGGGCCACAACACGGCCCGCTAAGCCTTTTAGTGGGGCCCTCGCCCAACACTCAGATTCTTCCACATCACGCATAAAATCCTAATCTGACAGTTTATGTTTGACAAGGCGCGTTTGACAAGGCGCTCAGATGGGTAAAAATATGTAATGTTTTCTTCGCTCTTTTTGCTCAAAAATGTTGCACACCCCTGCTATAGGGCATATACCTGACAATCAAAAATACATCAAGTGACCAATCCATACAATTATACCAAAATATATTATATTCATTACATCCTGAGATAAATAGTTATACTATGATATGAAAAAATTATCAAAAATTTTGTTGATGATTGATTATTATGATGAATGATGAACTAATATTAATATACCACTACAAATTAGACAATATGAAACATATCTACAAAAACTAATGGAAAACAAAACAATATGATGCAGATTTGTAGCAAGATGACATGAATGAAAAGCTGAAGAGAGAATATGAAATTTTGAAGACACCTAAATATAAAAACACAAAATTTAAAAAGGAATTTGAAAGTTAAACTGATAGCAAAAAAATATCACTAACTGTAACTAATGCTTGCTATTTTATTAACTATGTAGTCACATTCTGCAAAATCTAACATAACTATCTTCATAAGATTTGAGAAGTACAAAAGTATTTACTCTTGACATTGTAATGTTTAACTTATTATTATGCTTGTTTAAAAATCTAAATGATCTTCAATTCAAGGTGTTTGAATACGATATATTTAAAAATTTACATCATAACAGACACTTCTAATTTTAACGTGCTCATTTAATTATTTTCATATAAAACACACAGTGACACAGGTATCAATTATTATGGTTATTTTTGGTTCGAACAACATTTGCCACTATAGCTAAATTGTATAAAATTATTATAAATACTTGAGAGAAGGAAACAATGCATGGGTTGGATATTTAGACATGGACAATGTCTATTCTAGTGGAAGACTCTACCTAAAGATTTCTATAATGCTAATCTCTGAGTAACTTTAAAAATTGGTTGTTGATGAAATGGGACAACAAACCTCTTCTTTTTCTATAAAATTTTCCTTTAATTTTTTCAATTCCAACAGTGTACCATCTTGTTCTTGTTGCAACCTAGATTTCTCATGTATCAAAGATTTCAATTGTTCTTCAAGTACAGAAGACTCCTGTAAATATAAAAGAGTACAATCTGAATGAAAAACAGGTTGTGTACCAGGTTAGGGTTCAGACATCTTGGTGCGCATACTTCAGGAGCACCCAGTATAGAGTGAGTCTGCATATTAGTACGTCTTACATAAAGCAAACTATACAGGGGTTACTATCCGTATAAATTGTAATTTGGAAGACATTTTTAATATTTGAACAACGATGCATAACATTATAATTTAAAAATGTGAATGCTCTAAAAATTTAGCCATAAGTGATATATCAAATAATTTACTTCTTAACAAAAAATTCAACGAGAATATCGGTCAGAGACCGAAGACTTATCGATCGAAAGTCAGGGGATCCCCCAAAACAGCGCTCTTACTCCATAGTGACACCTTGTGTCCCATCACTAATTAATTAATAACTCGCTAATTATACGACATAATTCATCCAAAATCAATAGGCTTCTGGTACGACATATGATGAATGCACATGCAAAATCTGGAGCGGATTCAATCTCGCTTTCGTGAGATATCGCGTGCATCTAACAGACAAACAAACAGACAGACAAATACCTATCAACATACTTACCGATTAAAATCGATAAGTAATAAAAAGCCTAAGCCACAGGAATAACTAAAATTAGCAATTTATGTATCAGAATCAACTTATAAACCAGAAATAAAAATATCCAAAACTATGATCTTGTCATTCTTAGCGATTAAAGCGTTAGACATATCTGTGTTGACATAGCAGATAACATATCTTGGATTCAAATCCCATGACCCCTACTTCACCCAGAGTGCAATAAATTGAGTAGGTAATTTTGAAACAGGAATATTACATTGTTTCAAATTATAGTAGATTCTAACATTGACTGCTTGTATATAGCCTTATTCAGAGAGAATAATCGTGAATAAGCGCGGAATAAAAAAATTATACACATTACACAAGCAACTTTATATTAAAAGGTCCTTTCAGTCAAGCTTCAATAAATTTTTTGCTCGCTCTAAATAGCTTGATTTGAGCACATTCTCAAAAATTGAATTCAACAAAATTGTAGACGAGATAGCGATCAGAGACCCCCGACTTATCGATCTAGTGACGTGTCACTAATTAATTAATAACTCGCTAATTATAGGACATAATTCATCCAGAATCAATAGGCTTCTGGTCCGAGATATGATGAATGCACATGCAAAATTTGTAGCAGATTCAACCTCGCTTTCGTGCGTTATCATGTAACATACGAAAGTGTCTAACAGACAAATACCTATATCAACATACTTACCGATCAAGATCGATAAGTAATGAAATATATATTTAAGTTGTTATTTAACCTTGTTTCCGAATCATCAATATGAACCAGCCTTAATAAATGAGCTATTAAAAAATAAGTGTACCAGTACCTTTAATATGTATCTCACCTTTGAGGTAGATGTTTGTAAAGATTCAGTCTCAATACGAAGATTTTCTTTCTCTCTTTTCAAATCAGAAATTTCAGATTCAAATTTGTTCTCCTGTTCCTTCGCCTGGATTATTTTCAAAAGTGTAAAATTAGGGAAACTAGTAAAAAAAACAAAAAAGTTTAATAGATTCCTAGTTATGCTATGGTAACTAATTGTTACGGATATACAAAAAAGTAGTAATAAGATTGATATCTTAAAATTTATTTTTATTATAAACTAATTTACTGATTCTCCGCAATCACCCAAAGCACTAATTTATTTTATGCGACTGAATAAAACAAAGGTGTCTAATGCATAATAATGTCTGATATAAATATTTGATGCTCATGAAATTCTTGAAAAAAACTATCAATTACAGTAGACTTCAATATGAAAATATTAGTTTCTCCAATAAGCCATAGATGCAATGAACGAAACATTTTTCATAGTCTCACTAGGCGGATAATACCAAAAACATTTCATTCTGGAAAATAGATTTTTATTTTAAATAACATAGTTTTGTGAAAGCTTTGGGTATAATTATCTGATTATTTTGAATAGTCCTCGAACTAGTGAGATCCCAAAGCATGAGCTATTTATTTTTTCATAGTCTGTCTAAAATATCTGCAACCATAAATAACAGATAGTGATGATAGCCATCAGACAAGCAGATTAACATGAAGATATTGTGTTTTATGTAATTTTCTATGTGAACATAAAATTCCCCAATTTAGAGTGTATTCGATATTATTCCATATTGGAAAATATTTTTCGGAATATTGTATTCGGAATAGTGAAAAATCAAGTTTTGGCCATCCCTGATTGTGAGATTTAAATTATTCCTAAATACCATTAATCTTTTTGTTATGAAATACCTGATTTTTTTTTTCAATGAAAAATGTTTAAGGCTTGACTTACCTGATTTTTCAAGCTTTCAATAGTCCCTAAATCAGCATTGTGTGTTTCCTCAATCTGTCGTTGTAAATCCACAATCATTTCATCTTTTGATTTGATATTGAGTTCATTTTTCTCAAATTTATTTTTCCAAGAATCGATATCATTTTTCAGATTTAGTACAAGCGACCCAGTATTTTCGCCTTCCTGTTGTTTGAGCTGATGTAATTCTTCTAGTTTAGATTTAATTTCAACGTTCTCGGATTGAAAAGTTTGAATCTGAATTGTCATACTTTCCTTTTCTTGAGACAGATTTCTGATGTGTTCTTCAAGACTAAGAAGAAGGAATAAAATTTGTTCAAAATGGAACACAGGAAGAAACAAAATATTACAGTAATTTACTGAAGCCGTGAATTTTTGCGTTCGATCTTGTTGTTAAACTTTACCAGCCATGATATTTTAAATAAACAGGATAGTCTTTTACTTTACTGGTTTAATGTCAATCAATGAGCACAGGATAAACATAAAAGTATGCTCAATTGGAAATATATTCACACGAAGAAGACATAAAAAAACATCTCTTTTTAATTCTTTCATTTAAGTTCATTAAAAATAAATATTGATTATATATAAATATTGAGTACAAATAAATTTGATAGTTTACAATGTACATTATTGAAATAACAGTAAAATCGTCATCCTATTGATAATAGTTTCAAATTCGGCCCTATACTAGCGGCCACTGATATCTAACGCTGAGTAAGGAGCTACTATTATTTCCGGTACAACCCCGCCTGCCCAATTTATCACACTCTGGCTGAGGTAGTGGCTTTGGGATTTGCACAGAGATGTGAAATCAGCGATGATGACATAGTTAAGTCAAACAAATTTAAAGAGCTAGGGCATCACACCCCTTAGAACAGGGGTTCTCAACCGTTTCTCTGTTAAGTACCCCCCGAGTCACGAAACAATCAACGCGAACAACCCCCAGTAATGAGACACCAAACTAAATTGTGATATATTGACTAACAATTTGCTGCAACGACCGCCAAGCCGTGCATTTCTATTGTTGTGTTACAATCACAACAACGCAATATCAGGGAAAATGTACGCTGAGTTTCAATTGGCACTTATTTTCCTCATGTAGTTACTTTCTTTGTCGATCGATATTAAAAAAATCAACACACCAAAACTCGACTGTCATCCAAGTACCCCTGGAAATCTTCTCCTGAACCCCTGGGGTTTGCAAACCCCAGGTTGAGAACCCCTGCCCTAGAAGGACAAGTTTGCAATCGCATTACCTCAATTTCTCTTGCTCCACAGTTTGGGAAGAAGATTTGAATTTTTCTATTTCTTCGATCAATACTTTCAATTCATTTTCTTTAGCATCATTTGCTTTGAGAGATTCATCCGTATTTTGTTTAATTTGTTCTTTTAAAGTTACATTTTCAGAAGAAACGTTCTCAAATTCTTGTATTTTTTGGTTCAGATTATTTTTGATATCCTGATTTTCTGTTTGTAATGTAGCAACTTGCTTCATGACTTCCTCATTTTGTAGTGATGATGATTGTTTGAGAGTGTCGTATTCAGTTCTAAAAGCAAGATAATTGATAATCTTTAGAAGAAGTTTCAAACCTTTACCCAACAAGTTAGATACTAGATATTGTGACCTTTTAGGTTTTGCCCGAGAACAGTGGATTTGGTATCGCAAACCCAGTTTACCACTCTTTGGGGAAAGCAGAAAGTTTACCTGGCCACTGTACTATAATACATAGCTATAATACATAACAAGCAAATGTGTCAGTTGCTTGGATGGTTTATATAAATGAGAAGAAATTTTACTACCCAACAATGTTTTAAATAAGCTATACCAGGGGTGTGCAACATTTTTTGTCGGTGGGCCATATAACCAACTTTGGACATCTACCTGGCCCTTTCCATGTACACCACGAATTAAAAAATTATCACGCTGAAAGATTTAACGCAGCGACAAGAATGAAAAAACATTATGTATTTCTACATATGTGAGAGACTTTTCAAACAAACTGTCGATTTAGGATTTTATGTATGATAAAGAAAAATCAGATTGTTAACGAGGGCCAAACCAAATGGCCTGACGGGCCGGGTTGTGGCTGGCGACCGCCTGTTGCACACCCTTGATCTATGCGAATAATTTTGCAGAAATCAAGATTGAAGGCAAATTATACATCTTTAAATTAAATAATTCAGAATTTCATTATGGAATGCAACTTGTAGCATAAGTGTGCTTTACATTACCTAACTGTAAGTAAGCATATATTCGGGAAGCATTTGATTTCAAAATTTAACAACACTAAGTAACTAATTAAACAAGCTTTATGAATAATTTTAAATAAAATTCCTCATACACAATTATACTAACCTTAAAGCAGATAACTGTTCAATCAATGATTGTTCTTTGTTATTGGCATTCATAATGGCAGTCTGAGATTCTTTTAATTCCGAGCTAATGGATTCTAACTTTTTTGTCAAGTCATTTTTCTCTAATTTTAAACCTTCTAATTCAGCAGTTAAGTTTACGACAGATGATTGAAGTTCGTTCTCTGATGAGGATTTCGCTTTGGCAGTTTCAGCAAAAATAGTTTGTAATTTAGCAAGTTCGGATGAAAGGTTTTCACATTTCACACTCGATTCGTTGAGATTATTTCTCAGAGATTCGTTTTCAGATTTCATTTCCGAATTTTCTTTTTCACGCAATGAAAATTTCTCCTCAAGATTTGAGAATGAGATTTTCAGTTCCTCAAGTTGAGTGTTGAGAATGTTTTTCTTATCTTCTAATGAAGTAAGAGTATTTTCTACTTCTGTTTTTGCGGAAGTAAGAGAAATGACTTCGGCTTCAAATGTACTCAATTTTGAATTCAATTCGGTGACATTGGATTCAAGATTGATTTTTGAACTCTAAAAAAGAGATGAAAATTTATTTGCATTTAATAATATTATCTTATATAATAAATATTGCCATAATTAAAAAAAAATCTACCTGAAAATCTTTAATATTGCTTTCATGGTGATGTATTTTTTCTTGGGCATCTTTCAACAACTTCTCAGTTTCTTTTAATTTATTGTCAGTTTCTTCAAACACGTTAGAAGATTTTTGTAAATTTTCCGTCAGATGTTTTCCCTCCGATTCTAATCTAATTATAAAATGTTGAAAATTTAGCTAGGTTTCTCAAAACAAGTCTTGAACAAGTGCATTTGAACCATAGTCATCATATTATGTTGATAAAAAATATCACCCTTACCTGTTTTTATCTTCTTCTAATCGTCTGACATTTTCGACAAGTTCATTGACTTTGACTTGATAATCAGCACTTGATGATGTTGTTAATTCAAGTTTTGATTTGAGAGAAGATATTTCAGATTCTTGACTACTTATCTTTGTGGTCTGTTCAAGTAATTCCTGTAATACAAAAAGAATTGCTTAACATTATATTATAGAGGAACTGAGCAGACAATGACCAAGATTTATAACGGGTTAAATTACCACTGAATAGTCTTCAAAAATGAGGAGTATTACAATGTCGCCGTTTGATCCTCATGTCATAATTAGCATATTTCACTATGTCTTACTATGTGTGTATAATTAATCAATACAATTTCAATCCAGCGCAGATGCAAGTAATACCAAGTTACAGATCTTTTACATATATAGATACCAACTAAAATTTTGCCAGGAAATTAAGGTATATCTTACCTTCTTTTTCAATGCATCACCTTCTTTTAATTTTTCCATCGCAACATTAAGATCATCAATCACTTGTGCTTTTTCTGTCAGTGTTTTTTCAGAATCTTCTAATTTTTTGGTAACTGTCTGCAATTCGTTTTTAGTTTGCGAGATTGTAGATTCGAGATTGCATTTTTCTTCACTTAAAGACTCTTTAGCACTGTTAAAAGAGGAGAACGATTAATGAATATGGAAAAACGTCGAGTATCATCTACAGTCTAGCAATAATTCAGGAGTGTCTCATAGAAGAATGATTCCAATGTTATAAAGAAAATGATTCCAAGGATGTTGTAAAAAGACATATGAGAGCAATTTTTTGCATTCTGTAATACCTGAGAATTTAGGACAATGGAAATTTACACATGACATAATTTTCGTCTAATAATATGACAGTATTTTGTGGGCACTTGTAGTGGGCACGATTCACTGTAAGACAAAATGCTAGCTAGAATGTTTCAATTTTGCATCAAAATTTTTTTTTCGTGCGACTAACAATTATTTATCCTGCTTTGCTTCTGCGCCAGTAAATCTGTATGCATATAATGCAAAAATGCTGTAGCAAGAATTAAGATAACTATTCTAAGTTGGGATTTCTTTTTTGCAGAAGGACCAGGAACTGATAGGCATTGAGTTCAATTCACGAGTCTTGTTACACACCAAGTCACAAACACAAATATATTTCTGCAACGTTTCATTTGACCAAGATTTGAAATTATTACCTTTTGACCGTTTGTATTTCATTTTCTAAAGTAACAACATGTTTGTTTCTTTCTTCTAAATCAGATTCCAATTGCGTTTTTGTTTTCTCCAGCGATTGAATTTTGTCAAGAAGTTCGAAAGATTGCTAGATAAATGAAATAATTTTGACAATAAAGTTATTGCTTGTTAATATTTTTTGAATAACTAAATTAAGAAAACTATAATATTTGAATGAGCTACCTCAAAAAGGTAGAAAGTTTGCAAATATCTGAAAATCTATGTGATCCAGAAAAGTTTTAATGAAATGTTGCTTAATAAAATGAAAATGTAAATAAAAATATAAATAAATAAATACGTAAATAAATAATATGTATAATTTCTGGACTATTAAGATAATAACAGCCTTTAAGTTTAAAATCTAAGCAGATAAAAAGTTACAGAACTGGGTAATTCTCATTTTCAAGTAATTTTGCTCGACGCAAAGCAGTGAACCCTGGAAACCTCAATGATACAGGACAATAGCCACCACTAATGTAATAAAAGCTTCCAATAACTTTATTGTTGTATAATAAATACCAGTAATACCGGTTGGCATAGATCTTCGGCTAAAATGAAAATGAATGAAACAAAAATTCAGAGTGAAAACTGTTTACCTGTTCTGTATTCCCATGTTGTTCAGACAAAGAGCCAAGTTTCTGTTGTAAAGTATTTTTCTCGGTTTCAAGATCTTTAGATTTCGATTCAAGTTCTTTGAATGAGGCAATTTGTTGCTGATTAACTATCGTCAATGATTCAAACTCTTTTTGAACAGTTTCTAACTCACCGCAGGTCTTTTCAAACTAAAAACGAGAATATCGGTAAGAGACCGAAGACTTATCGATCGAAAGTTAGGGGATCCCCCAAAACAGCGCTCTTACTCCATAATGACACCTTGTGTCCCATCACTAATTAATTAATAACTCGCTAATTATACGACATAATTCATCCAAAATCAATAGGCTTCTGGTACGACATATGATGAATGCACATGCAAAATCTGGAGCAGATTCAATCTCGCTTTCGTGAGATATCGCGTGCATCTAACAGACAGACAGACAAATACCTATCAACATACTTACTGATTAAAATGGATAAGTAACAAGATGCAAATATTTACACAAAGTATTATTAGGTCTTTTGCCCCAAAACCCATCGATTCCCAACGTTTCGTGGAAAAATTCCATTGAACCATGGGATTGCCACCTTCACTCCTAACTTGGGACACTCACTTTCTAGTATCTAACAAATACAGTATATATGAGAAATATGCCGAAAATTTATCACTTGGTTGAAGTTCTCAATGTTGGTTATTATGATTGACTAATAACAAAAGAAATATTTATTACTAATAGAGCTTGTCATACTTGCTGGGTAACATCGTTCAAATTCTTTTCATTTTGTTCACAAAGTTCCCTTTCTTTTCCTAAATCTTGTTTCAGTGTTTCATTTGACTTGCTCAATTCTTCTTTGTCAAGATTAAGTTTGCAATTTGTTTCAGTCAGTTCTACTTTGACTTCGGTCAAAGAATTTATATTCAATTGTAATTTTGCCGATTCATCTTTCAATTTTTGAATTTCATCCACGAGTTCAAATGTTTTCTGAATGAAAAATAAGATTTTTCATCATTTTTATCAAGAGCAAGAATGAGTCTGAAATGTTTAAATTCTATGGCGGGCAGCTGGCTTTCACTTCGTTACAAGCACAGGTTGGATGTACGAGTATCTGACTAGTTAATTGTTTTGATGCATGGACTTCGATAGAAGATGGTAATGTAACATGATGGATTCCAGCAAATATTAAGTATTGTAGCTCGAATACACTATAATATATATTATAAATTTTGAATAAACATTCGAGTGAAAAAAAAACAATATATTTTTCTCCAAATATCCAATATACAAAATTTGGCTAAAAATTAAATATGATATCTAAAATTCCGTAACGAACCTCTTCTTTCCTAGTTAATTCATTTTTAGCATCCTCTAATTGTTTTACGACAGAATTTCTCTCACTTTCTGAATTCTGCATTGCCAATTCAACAAATGATCTAGATTGTTTCTCTTCATCCAGAGAAGCGGAGAGCTCATCACATCTCTGAAAAATAAAGAAAATATTAATACAATTGATTGAGATCTTGTATAACTAGTCAATGGATTCAAGGTGAATCTCAACCATATACAATATATTCAACTACCAATAAAACTTCAAAAGTAGTAGCTTATCACATATCAGAATCTGCTTCAGCCTTGTTCAGAGTGACAGTGTGAAAACACCATAAATTTTATAAGTATTACAAAAGAACCCACTCCAATAGTTGGTTATTTAAAAACTGCTATTCAAATCTATTATCAACTTAAATTTCTTAGGGTTTCGGATCTAGTCTAGTCAACAAACGAAATATTTGAATGACTGAGTTCAGTTCTTTTCATAGTTTGGTTTTGTTAATTTTCTTTACACAACGGTACATAAGGAGAACTTATGAAATTAGTATTGTTTTGCCTCAACTAAAGTTGGTGCTCTGACCTCCAGGTTGCAAACCACTAATTATGAAAAATTTGTCATATACCTGTTTAGATGATTCATAGTTTTTCTTGGTTTCATTTAATTCTGTTTCAAGATTGTTTTTCTCTGAAACTACTTCATCATATTTTTTCTGCAGCTCTTCTTTAGCAGTCGTCTCGTTTGATAAACTATTTTCCACATGGGTCAATGTCTAAATATAAAAAACAAATTCAAACAACTGTATATTTATATCCAATTCAAGAGTCAAGCTGAGCACTACACAAATGTATTTCTGAGACGTTTCGTCCGACTGAGGTCAGACTGCTAAACAGACTACTGCAACATTTCCCACCCGAGAGGTTTTCTTGGCATGGAAGTATTTTGCTTTGTATTTGCTGAAGTATTACTAATATTATTTAGTTCTTTATTATTAATATAATACTCATCCATGCACACATTAAATACACAATCAAAAGCGGAAGTACGACTTCCACTCTGGATATGGACACTAGATAAGGTTTCATTGAAAATTGAATAAATAAAGTATCTTTTATGTATGCTGAGGAAGGAATAGAAAGTTTCAAAATAGTCGAAAATTTGAGAACTACTGGACTACGATATATGGGTAAATTAAATTAAAAATCAAAGCTACTTCTCGACTCACCTCGGCTGTTTTGGTGAGTTCACTTGTTAACTCCTTCAACTTTTCTTCTTTCTCGGATATCTCAATTTCAGATTTCTCAACAATTGTTTTTAGATCGCTTCCTTTACATTTTAGAGCTTCGTTCTCAGTATTTAAATCATCAATTTGCTAAAAAATTGTTCGAGATTGACAATCACATATATAAGAACTATCAATGATTATAATAGGCCTATTGAATTATTCAAAAAGATTGACGACAGTAGTGTAATCATAATGGGTAAGTGATGGCTAACTCGCAACTTCCTAATCGTGGGATAGGATTTTCACATTTATCCCAGAGAAGAGGAAAGCCGATAAGACGGCCTATTCATATGCCCTACCAACCTCTTGTTTGGTTACCATACCAGTCCATGTCAGGTATAATATTAGTTAGCCAGTTATTCGTTTTAGATACATGGACTTGATGGTGGAGGAAGCCTGAATAAACCAGCAGTTATGTCAACCACCCTACAATGGCTAACAGTCCACCAATCCTCTTGCAGAAAATTATCCCCACGCCGGATTCGAACCTGCGTAGGGCAATCAGAGGTACAATGGGAGGTTCCTAAAATCCTAACAAATAGCATGATGAGCCATAATGTCGATCATTGATTGTACTGAATAGGGCAGAACTGGAGACAGTGTCAAGACAGAATGAATGTCTTCAAAAGGTATATTATCGAATATAAAGTAAATTAATTTAAAGACTTCAGATTTGTTTCAGGCAAAAACTGCTTATTTTGCAGAAAAACATGAATTTGTGTAAAATTTCAGAGTAAAAATAATCCATACGAATATAAATCCCTAACTGTAACCAGCAATCCCAAGGTTCGATTGCTGAATAATATCTCATAACCCTAAGAATTAACGAATTGACATATAATTAAAAGTACATCTCACCTTAGCAAGTTGCTGCTTTTCAGAAGTTGTGTCTTCAATTAACTTTTTCAATTTCTCGTCAGAGTCTTGCAAGTTTTTCAAAGATGAATTCAAGCCATCCATTTCCTTATTGTGCATTGATATTATAAAATGACCACGGCACAAAGGAGAATTGTGACAAAAAGAGAAAGAGGGAGATAGGAGAGGAAAAAAGAAAGATAGAGAGCCAGTGCTCAATCAGAGAGATGAGGTAGTCTTACAATTATCATTGGTAGCAAATTAAATCACAAAAAATGCGTGCACGAAGCAAGCAATAAATAACTAAAAATTATATTGATGAAAAGTGACAGACTCACAAAAATACTATATAACAAATAGATTTGGTGTAGCAATAAACAAAATCAAAGCACAATACTAGAAAAAAAGCCAGAGATTGCAAATCCACTTTCACTACATATACTGACAAAATTTACAGACACAAACGTCAAAAGCAGGTTAGTAGATATTATTATATTGAAATGAATTTACATTTGTATCCTGTTTGAGAGTGCATGTCGTAAAAAAGATTTTTTGTTATTAGTATCTAACACGGAGTACTTATTATTTAATCATCAGCTTTACAAGCTTGAACCAAGTAAATCAAACAAAAGAGGTAACGGAAAAAGTAAGATATCAAGGTATCAGCTAAGGGTTAGCACAAAATTTAGTTTAAATCTTGGATAAAACTACACAAATAAAATTACTAACTATGTATGATAATTAAAATCAAACCCTTAAATTATTTTGACTATTCCAAATTGTTGCATATTATCAAGTAACTACCTATTCTCAAATTAAATTTTTATTTAAATTTCAGCAACTAAAGTATTTGAAGTAATTACATCAACAATGCCTTCTATGTCTATAGAACCTCAAATATACCATAACTTGAAAATGACTAACCTCTTCCAGAGAAATTTTTTGTTGCAACATTTCATTCATATGTTTTGTACTATCTGCAACCATTTCTCGCTGTTTTTCACTAGCTTCTCTCTGTTCTTGTCTGAAATTTACAAAATGTAATATTTTGGAAAGTGTAGGAAATAAATATGGCAATGCTGCTGGATAGAGATCTTGGATACATGCCAAATCAGGACAACGAACATGAGCTCTGACTAAGCAATTTGATTAACAAAAAATGGATATTTCATTTATATCTCAATCCTGCGCAGATAGAAACTTGTTTGGAGATTGGAGCTAACTAATATAAGATATATGATGACATAAAACATTATTAAACGTTCCTTGACAATAAATCTTTGATAAAATTTACCAAAAAATTAGAGAAAGACTTCAACGTTAGTTAAATTGTCTATCAAACAACGATATACTTCCAATCAATTTGCTTACCAACAAAGATATTTTGTTTAAATCGCAATCAGGCTCAACTAAAACTTTGTTTGAGGATTGGAGCCAACTAATATAAGAAATTATTAAACCCTCGTTGACAAAAAGCTTTCACAAAATTTACAAAAAATTTGGGGATAAATGTCAACACCAGTAAAATTGTCTATCAAACAAACAATATACTTCTTAAGCGACGATGAAAAAATTATTTACAATTGTTGAAGCAGGTTTTTAGTTTCTTCACCACTCTGCTCTTGAAGCTTTGATATCGTTGATTTAGCATCTTCGTAACTTTTCTTCAGATTTTCATGTTCATCTGATAACTCAATAACCTGAATATATGAAAAGAAGGGATAAACAAACTAAACATAAGTAAAATGCATAGTTGAGCGCATAAAAGTGCATAGTTTAGCGCATGAAAAAAAGAGTTCTTAAAAACCAAATGTATATGCCAAAAATTTTATCAAAGTTTCCAAATTCCTTTTGTAAAAAATGCAGTAGTAATACAATTTTTGTCAATTCCACTTTTAAGTGCGAAAAATGCACTAGTCACCATCTTTCAGAGCTTTTGATAGCTCAAAGATGCAAGGTAAAAACACACTACACATAATGAAGCCATTTTTTTGATATAGATTCTTCAAACATCCTCATTTGAATTTTACATTTGATATAATTTTGAACAAACTGAAAGAATCTATTTGTTATTCTGATATATAATAAATTTCACTTCAACAAAATAGTCATATACAACTACTACAAAAGCTGCATGTTAAATATAAATAACAAATAATTGCCATTCAATCTGAATTCTTAAACATGTGTTTTCAAATAATATTATTCTCATTTATATGGAATTTGTAAAATCTGGATATTCATGAAAAGACACCCAACTTACTTTATTTTGCATAGCTTCGAATTTCTTCTTCAAATGTTCAATTTCAGTATTTTGTTCATTAATTTTATCTTGAGATGACTTAATGGAAGATTCTTTTTCACTCAAGATAGAAACCATCTAAATACAACAGAAATTAGGATTTTCATTCAGGAGGAGACGAAAGTTGACAAGACGGCCTAGTCATTTAGCAGACCCTAGTATCTCAACTAGTTTCCAATCCAGCAATTGTCGACTAAATTATAATACGAACATGTGAACTTAAGTTTATTTCAATATTCATTTCAGAAACGTTTGTCCTGTAGCACAGATGATACCATAATCTTAACAAATAGTAGTCAATTACAAGTTGAAATAGATAGATTTCTGACAACCTCGAAAAATGGTTTTAGTGAATATTAAAAAAAAAAGATTGAGAAGAATTCCAATCGGGTTGAAAACTGTATTTAGAGCTCAATAAGGCGAATGAATTTGATTTCTAACATCATCTTATTTGGGCATAAATATGGCTACAGTTTGTCATGATTAGGATAAGAAAAGGTTATTGAAGGTTCATAAACAGCAAAGTTCCTTGTTGGGATCATGTTCACTTTTGCCCCTTTTAAAAATTGATAACAATGCTACTGGGATAATTACCATATGAAAAGAAATGAAGAGTTAGTGTTTTCGGTGGATATTTCGGCGCTCCAAAAGTATGTGTACCAATATGGAGGTAACTAATTTTGTTCGCCTACTTTACATCAAGTTGTGTAAAGGGAAGGAAGCCTTGGGCAGGGGGTATATTCACTTGGCTAACACAAACAGTCCCTGAACTCGTAATAAAACTAAGGTAAGGAAAATCGGTATAAAATTATGGCCCAACTCTGGTACACATACTACAGGAGTACCGATATTTCTGCACACCTTATTTTTCTCTTCTTCCAATCCATTTCTCTCCTTTTGTATTCCATGTAACGTTTCTTGTAGTTTTTGACAATTTTGCATTAAATCTTCTACTCTACTTTCTAATGTTGATTTTTCTTCTTTTATTTTAGACAAAATTTCTACAGTTTCTTGATTAGAAGTGGAAGCTTCATTTAATTTGGAAGACAATGTTTTTGAATCTTGTTCTGAAACGTTGAGTTTATTGCGAAGTTCTTCTTGTGTTTTACTTGCTTCTTCCAACTTCGTTCTCAAGTCAGGGATTTCTGATTCCAAGGATGATTTTGCAGTTAACAAAGTTTCGTGCGTTGTCTGAAAATATTGTACTATTACAAACTTATCTCTACTATTTACATTGTTTTCCTGGAATTGAAAATAGGTATTGTAACAAGACCATTTGTTTGCACAAATATTTTGTCAAGGAAAGATGTCATTCGATCCAAAAACAGTAGGTCTTTATGTAATAGTGGAGTCTTGTCTGGATCGAAGGCATGAAAATGGTATAAAAAAAATAAATACTATGAAAAACATTTGAAAATTACACTCAGCGTTTAACATCAAATAACAACCTGAACAACTTCCTAATCCAACAAGTACGGTATTTTATGGACCATCTTATAAGCCTGTGCGCCTAATGTATGGATTAGGTAGTGTTTTATGCGTTATTGCCTGCATTCGAAACCATTACCGGTATTGCTTGAAAAACTGTTGCGCCTTATAGAACGATGCGGTGCGCCTTATATGTGAATAAAAGCCCAATCTGAGAAATTTATAGACAGTACATCTTATAGTACAATGCACCTGGTCTGTGAACTATAAAAGTAATTCGATAACAATTTAGAGTTTGACAATGACAATGTTTTTACTTGAAGCAAAATAATAAAAAAAATAAAATGAAACCTTTGATTCGTCCAAGGAAGATTGCACATTTCTGAGTTCAGTATTCAAGTGATCTATCAACCTGAATAGAGAAAAGAATGAAAGAAATATATTAGAACTTAGAAGCATATAACGAAGCCAGTATATTTGATCAATTTTATTTAATCATAATCACTAATTTTACTACAGATGTTTAGTTATTCAGTATTTATGGATATATATAAACCCTTCAAACTGTGCTAAAGTGCGAGTAACACTAGCTCCGTTGAATAATGGATGAATACCAAAAACAGATTTTTTATGTGTAGTGTGGGAGCAAAAATGAGATCTAAAATAGGCAAAGGGAGAAAGATTAAAAAAGAGAGTGAATGTGAATGAGAGAGTAAGAACTTAAAAATTGAAATAACAATGATGATGTAAAATTTAGATAATTGGACATTTGATGTTACCTGTCTTTTTCGGACACAGTATCGTTAAGTGCAATGAGTTGTGCTGAACTATCACCACTGCTTCTCAGTATATCGCCTTTTTCTTTTTCTAAAGTAGTTTTGTCATTTTGAAGTTGAGAAATCTGCAATATGCAAAATTAAAATTTACCAGTTAGACTACTACTTTAGCATTTAAAATTCCAAACTATTGAAGAAAAGCATGAAAATCAATGTCAAATTGAGGTAGATATAGGCAAAGCTGACAAGATGCTGATTTGTTATGTGAATGTCACTGATAAGACTGAGGCTTAGCCAAAATCAAAAAACTTACTATCGTATTACAGAATACAGTATTTTGCAATGTTCAATAAAGAACGCAAATATGGCGAATATGGTGTTCATATAAATCGACATATATTGTTTTATTCAGTTCAGGGGTATGCAACATTTTTTGTCAGTGGATCATATAACCAACTTCAGACATCCGGCTGGACAACACGAAAAATTTTGTTTTCCATTTATACAACGAATTAAGATTAGACGCAGCGACAAGAGCAAAAAACAATATGTATTTTTACCCATATGAGCGCCTTTTTGAACATAACCAGTCAGAGTGTTGACAAGGGAACCTGTCGGAGTGTTGACAAGGGCCACACTAAATGGCTAGGCGGGCCGGATTGTGGCCCGCAGGGGGCCTGTTGCACACCCCTTAAGCTGCTAAAAATGTTGCAATTTCGTTTTACCTGTTTTTGTGCTTCGTCTAATGCTTTTTCTTTTTCCTCTAAATTCAGTTTCATTTCATCAACTTGAAAATTTGAACTATCACGATCTTTCAACATTATATCTTTTTCAGATTTCTGTGTGCAAAAAAGAAATGTGTTTTATCCATCAATTCTTTGCCTTGCAGGCTAAACCCTATTTTAATATTCACTGTAGATGTTTTCAAAACGAAGATATACACATACCAGGTTACATAAAGAATTCTCCAATTTTGTTTTTTCGTTTGTTATTTTATCCAATTCCAATTTTTGACTTTCTAAATTTTTTGCATCTTCTTCCGATGCTATCTTCATTTTTTCTAATTCTTGCAACAGTTCAGAATTACGATCTTCAAATTTGGTTACATCAGTTTTGTTCAATTTTTCCTAAAAAATTCAATTTTAGAGTTTTACAGGAAAAAGACTTAAAAATATCATTTTGTAAGAAAGTAGCAGCCAAGGCGTCATAATCAGTGATTGGCCTAAATCTGTATTGGCCGGTTGGTGATTTTGGTGCTTCCAAGACTTTATGTACAAAAGTAAAAGAATTTTGGCAAAAATCTTAAAGTTTGTTTTTGATACAAGATGAAACAATAGTATCTTTTTGCATATTGTTAAATATCAGTGGCTGCTTGTATAGGGTCTAGTTCAGGGTTTCCCGAACTTTTTGAGCAGCGGACCCCTATTTGTGAATCTTAGTTTTGACGGACCCCCATTCTGTGCCGTATCAATTTCTTTGCCTAACCAATGAGATGGGATAATTTTTCATTTACAACACAACCATTGTTAATGTGATGGATGAGGTTGCTTTTCACTGCATAATTTATCGATTTTCGGAGCAATTTGTGACAAGCAAACTTGTAGGTTTGACTCTACATCAAGTCTGGACCTGTATTTTGTCATTATATATGTAAGAGCTGAAAATGTTGACTCACACATGTAGGTCAATGCAAAAAGCAACACAAATTTAATTGCCTCTACTGACAGCAATGGATATTCGTCCGCAACGCTCAAAAAGGAGCATTTCGATTGAAATCAATCATTAAAGATTGATCAGACGCTTTTCATATCGTTGCGGACATCCTGTGCAGTCATCACGGACCCCTGGGGGTTCGGGGACCCCAGTTTGGGATGACAAAGGCATGAATGAGCGTCATTAAAAATGGAAAAGTTTATATTGAAGTTATCCATGAAATTAAGATCTTGAATATTGGTTCTTGACAGACAACAGTGAGAAGCCAAATAGCAAAATGTCTGAAAACTTTCCTCAGCATAGCACTAGTAGGAAGAATAGATACTGTAACACATCTACATCACAAACAAAACCAAAATGCTCGAACAAACAACTTGAGAAATACAGAGTGTTCTAAAAATGGCACCTGTTGCAAATCATATTCAAGCTGACCAAGTTTTACTTTAAGTTCATCAACCATAGCATTGGCAGAATCTCTTTCATTGTACAAATCTTCGAGACTTGATTTGTCATCCACACCAGAAGCCTTTAAAAATGAAAGTCATTAGTCCTAATAATACTAATTTTTAATTACTTGATAATAAAATGCCAGGTGAATATTCGAACTCTCTGAAAACTCCAAAATTATGCTATGCTGAATATCGAATAGTAAAGTAACATATTAATCTCCTAGTATTTAATTACTTGCTTGATTGTCCAGAAATAATACTTATTGAATTGTAGGGTGTCTTCCAACAAAAAAACATTACAAACAAATTTTTATCAAAGCATTTAGTATATTATCATGCTAATGTTACTGCCACCCATTCATGGACTTAATATGGTTTCAAAATATTTTCTCAATTTTCTGTAAAACTATGACCTTGATCCTGCACGAAGCGTAATATCAGTTTGTATATTCATACAATAAGTAATTATAAAATCCAGAATGAGTTTTTTGACAGTAAGATGATAATTTTGATAGATATATACCGGCAAGTACAGTGGTACAGAAATCCCTTATGTACTACACTGATCCATATTAAATTCGAAACCGCGCACAATGCTACTTCAATTCTCTGATACTTAATAATCGCTGCGTTCTCAAAAATACAATATTTTGATCAAGCATGCATATTCAAACTCATGCCGAATATTAAACATGCATCAATAAATGTAAATAATCATATAATCTATGTATTTTCACTAAATTCATTTTCGAGCTAAATTTATTCATTTCAAATATTGGCTCAAATCATATCTAAAATAAAAATAATAACTATACTGGCCTCACAAAAATATAACTTAGTACGGCAATTTTGACAAAATTAGAAAAGGTTAGAGTAAATTCCGTATTTGTGGGTTTCGATAGCTTGCTAATTAGAGCGTTGACTTGAACCATATTAGCATCTTAATTTGAAGATCTCAAGTTCATCAAATTCCATTCTCACCAAGAATGTGATCTAGCAAGGATGTAGTATCGAGTCAGGAAGATTCAGACCGTCCAAGAACAGTAGATGCTTACATATCAGTATCTGCTTATGCAGAGCCTTGTTTAGAGCAAAGGGTGGGAATGAGCAGTATATGAGAAAAGATACGTTGGTAGCGCAGGTTGACCATTTTACCCAGATTGTAAAAATTTACCACTGAATAAATTAAATTTTCTGTTCAGCACAATTAAAAACTTTACCCGTGTGGTTTCCAAATCTCTCAGCAGTGATTGGGAACGACTCAATTCCATGGATAAACTTGCATCCAACTCCTTGATTTTCTCCTGAGATGATTTCACCTCAGACTAGGAGGGGGAACGAGAGCAAGCGAAATTTGAGGGAGGGAATGAGGTTGAAAAAGAAATTTTAAATCCAAACAAGATAGAATCAAATTTTTCAGGAATTTTATTGGGTTGAGGAAAGTTAAAAGCAGAAAAGAAAATGAAAGAAATTGAAATGGGGATAAAAGCAATAAACATGCAAACATAACATGCAATATATTAATAATCATCATTTGATGCAAAGTTAGGTTTTTTATAAATCATAATCCAAAATATAAGTTTTCCGAGATAATTCTTGACAAATCAACTGAAATAATACGTAATTAAGCCACCATATTATACTTGTTAGGAATGCTTCGAGAATTGTAGTACTATATTATAATTAGGATTGATGACACCTAAAGCACATTTATTTTCACGGATATTGTCAAAAAGCCAAGTCTTGGTGATAATGTATAAAAGCATCAATGCCACCCATTAATATGATGATATTTGCGAAATATATTAATGATGACACCAAAGCTCAAACAAATACAAGCCAAACAATATTTAAAGCTCATCTCCATTTTACAGGATTGCAAATTTTTCACGTCACGCCTTCCATCAAAAAGCCACACAACACAAATGACACAATATATATGATTTTGGGTTTAAATGCTGCCTATTCCAAACCCCAAGTAAGTCTAATTTTGAATGTAGCATTAGTCAAACCTATAATACTAGAGAAATTACAACATCCTCATACTCGAGATACTCTACTTACATAAAGACTTGTTTAGAGGAACAGTGCAAACTGCAAACACATATTATAAGTAATATGTACAAAAAGTTCAATTCCAGTCATAGTGTAACTAATATTTTTTATATGAATGTGCAATTCAATTTAAAAAAAATGGGATACTTTGATTAAAAACTACAAATTGCTTTTTGTATCGATAATCATATTTTCCAAAATGCCAATAAAAATCTAGAAAAGTATAACAAAATCCACCTGTAAATCATCTTTATTAATTGCTTCTTCTTCAAGACGAAACTGTAGGTCTTCTACTTTGGTTTTCTGTTCATTGAGTTCTTGCCTAAGAGTAACTTTCTCAAGATCCGCTCGTTCTACGAGTTCTTTTAGAGAGTCGATTTGAGTTTCTTTCTCAACAACCAACTAAAACGATTGAAAAAGTTGAATGAACCCATTATAAGTTTGTAAATTCACTATTTTAGAAAATTCCCAGAATTTTCCCACTTGCCAGTCTATGTTGTATACAAGTTTTTTATATGTGATATAGAAGAAATTTCTGGGTAACGAATAAACGAGAATATCGGTCGGAGACCGAAGACTTATCGATCGAAGGTTAGGGGATCCCCCAAAACAGCGCTCTTACTCCATAGTGACACCGTGTGTCCTATCACTAATTAATTGATAACTCGCTAATTATACGACATAATTCATCGAAAATCAATAGGCTTCTGATCCGAGCTATGATGAATGCACAAGCAAAATTTGGAGCAGATTTAACCTCGCTTTCGTGAGATATCCCGTGCATCTAACAGACAAACAGACAAATACCTATCAACATACTTACCGATTAAAATCGATAAGTAATGAATAATCGCTAAATATTTTTCATTGGTAAAAAGAATATTTAATGGAAAACATGAAAAACTCTGAAAATTATATACAAAACTGTTGATAGTTGAAAAATGCTTGTCTAAGTCAGTCTGATCTCAATCAGACAAAACGTTATAGAAATGCATTTGTGTTAGTGTGCACTGTGCAGAAAGACATTTGAATTAACAATTATATACAAAATTTATAAACTGAAATTTTTCCAATTTAGCAAGCTCTACCCAATTATGTTACACCTGAATGATGTGATTAAATTTTGTAACCTTTTCGCAATAATGAAAAATAGAATCAGAAATTCTGTTTATTATCCAGAGTAACTAACCTCCTGATATCGTATTTGGAGTTCTTCCAATTCTTTCTTCATTAACGTAGATTCTTGTATTGTCTGCATCATATCCGCTCTTTCCATATCTCGTTCTACCATGAGAGATTCCACATGTTGTTGTTTTTCCTTCAGAGCTTCTTGCAAAGCAGATGTTCCGCCCATAGCTGTCTTTCTTTGATACCTTGACGAGACTTCTGATTTCTGAATATAAATATTTATCATTGGAACACATGTGGCAATGTGTAATTGCATTGGTATTATCCAGGGCTGAAAATTTTTCAATTGCGATAGTTCTATCACAAAATTTTTGTAATACCATCCCTCAAATTCCAAATTTTTTCAAATAAATCTTAAGTTTTCCAAAAACTGTTCGCTTTACATAGATACATTTTAAACCGCAATCTGCAGTAATACCTACACTCATCATTGGAACTTCTTCTTTTTATGCTATGCCTAATGTGTGACCTTTATTAAAATAGTGGGATAAATTTTAATATATTTTATGTAAAATTGGACATTAACGCTATACTAAAAGTAATTTTTGATAACTAATTTTCAAAAATAGATGAAATGATTTTGTTGAAGCATACAATCATTTAAAATTTTTGAAATTGAAACTATGACTATAGTAAAAGTGGGGAGTCAACGTTATGGCCATACCTAGATGCTATACTACAACACAGCCAGGGGCGTAGCAGGTGGGGAGTTTCGGGGGTATGACCCCCTTTTCAACAAAAAAAAAATTTTTTTTGCATCACACATAGCAATTTTTCGTAGCTTAAAACCCATTTCGAACCCTCAAGCCTCCCAAACCCACGTTTTTAGGCCGTCGGCTAGTTTCGCTATCTGTTACTGTCTAACTCCCCAAATACAAATGTCAAAACCACCCCTTCAAAAATTTCTGACTACGACCCTGAACACAGCTACTGTATTTTAAGTTGTCCATTATTGTCATATAAGCATTACTGATAATGATAGGATATGTATTCGAAGATTAGTATTTACAAACTATTAAAATATCATTATAAATCAAGTATTGTTTGTTCATTCTGAAGATAAAAGCAAATTGGCTTGATTTTATAATTGAAATATAATAGTCATGAAGTTAGTTCATTTATTATATTTCCTATGCAAATAGAGTAAGATATATTTGTTGCTAGTTACTAGGTACCTGTAAAGAGCTTGGTTTGAATAAAATCTGAAACTGCCGCTGTTGGAAAAAGGCAAGATTTCGAAAATTGGATTCCGGTAATAAAAATTATTACTTTGACAAAAGAATTCGGTGTATATTTAATATTGCAAGTATTGCAAATTAGAATTTAAGGAAAAATTTTAGAATTCAAAACTTGCAATATATGAAGAACTCTGAAAGTCAAAATTTTGCATGAATAAACTAATTATTCAAGGCATGGTTACTTTCACTTGAAATTCAAAAGAACTCACTCAAAAGTGATATTACATCGGTTAGTCAACACACTCAAATACAGTATTGAGAAAATAAGATTGAGGAGAATATTTACAGGAGCCAAAATATGAAAATTTTCGGAATAAAAGCGTCCAGTAATAATAAGTATATTATTAATATTTCAAAGGTAGGAATTCATAAGCTGATCTAATTAAACTGAACCTTTTAATCTTTAATGAGGCCAACGACAGTAATTATCTGTAAATTTCAATATAGCAATAAATATTTAAAAATAAATCTATAATACAGCTATTATAGTAATATGTTATAAATAGGCATAAATTACTTCCAGACTAACGTGTGCAAACCATTTTTGACGCTCGATAGAAATATGCAAAGAATATAACTCCTTTGAATATTTGAAATCAAGAATATCTTCGAAAATAAACCTTTTTTAAAGAATTTTGGCTTTCAAAATTGAGTTATTTCACTCAAATTTCCCCCAAATGTAGCTGCTACTGTAGTTACTTTAGAAAAGCTACTAATTACTGTATATGAGTAATATATTGTAATATAAGAATTCAGAATATCCGGAATGTATGTTTGATTGAGAGCAGTCATTTTGAATATATGAATAAAATAGGAATGAATAAAACCTGAATAAACTTACAATTCCTTTTGGTTTTGCTCCTGTGAATGAGCTGGTGGAACTGATTGAAGCCACTGAACTACCGGGAGAACGAATTCCTGTTGTTGCTTTTTTCTTTGCAGCACTTGCAGCAGTCTCTCTCATGAGACCTTTTGAAGCTGAAATATTATTAGAATAAACTATGGTTAGTTCCACAAGTCTCTCCTCAAATAACATTTCGTTTGTGTTAGCGTACAGAAAAATATTTCAAGATATCAACAATCTCTCTCAAACTCAAACTTTTTTTTTCCTACAAAATTATACTTGTGCAGTGCCTTGTTCACAGTGGAGAAGCGTACACAAAAAATAATTTGAGATAAATGCATGTAGATTAAACAGTCTGCAAAAACTGAAAGCAAAATTAAAATTTTTTGCCAATTTTTCCTGCGTATAAATCAACGTATTTTCATATTGCTGTATCAGTATAAGTACGATGCTTGTAATGTCTAGGACTAGAAATGGTTAACCGATTTTAGATGGTTAACGGCTGCGATTTATTTTAGCCGTTAACTGACATCCTAGGTACAAATCATCTTTACAATGAAATCATTAGTTCATTGCAAATTTATATCCTGTGGGGTTTAATTCAAAAGAATATCACTAACTGTATTGGTACAGACTCAATAAATGTGAAAAATAATTGAGGTCTCAATATTGCTGATTATGAAAATTTGACAATGATAAATTAAGAATCAGTTTTCGGTCAAAATATATTATTCATGATTTTATTGCACGAGCGCCTGTCTATTCAATGTCATCCAACGTAGTTGATGCTGTTTTACGTCAAATGTCACGCTGCGGTTAACCGGTTAATTTTACCTGGTTAACGGTTGAAGTGTTTTCTCCAAAATTCCCAGCCCTAGTAAGTATATAACAGTAAATTTGATATCAAGCCATAATTTTCCTATACAAAAATTACAACTTTTCATTAAAAATCTTTTCCCCAGAAATCTCATTTCTTTATAGAAGAATAGGTAGAAAAATTCACAAAAGCATACTTGATGTGTTTACATAAAAGTAAAAATTTATTTAAGCTATAAATAACACCATTGTTTCACGAACCTGTCCTTGGTGTACTAGGAACCAACTTCTTTACTTTATGCAAAGGCGCAAATAAACCATGTAACATCTCGCATGTAAAATATCTAAAATGGAATGGAAAAATTGTTTTACCCCGTAAAACATCTTATTGACTTGAACCTCTAATACGGTGGTACTCTATCGGTGGGGAATGTCCCACAAAGTGGGCGTGAACAATTTATTTGAGGGGGCGTGAAGCTCAACTAAAAATATTAGTTAGATTTGATCTTGCCTGCCTTATTTCGGATATTTACATATTTTCAACGTGTTTTCGAATAAAACATACTTTTGCCTTACTATCTCTTATTTGTAGCTTATTGCTAGCTAGTGATTTTTGAGTTGGGATGCGAGACTTGACAAATTCTAAAATAGGGGCGTGACTCGAAAAGTTTGAGAACCACTGCTCTAATATATCATAAAAAAACGTTCCTCAAAACTTACAGAAAATACTGCTAAAATTGATTTGTCAACTCTTACCTTTTACCCTGTACAGATCCATCATTTTTACCCTGTGGTTCCTCCAATTCAACACCAACCCATGTACCTTTGGCAAATAGAGTTTCACCAACATATCTTGCAAAACCTTTAAAATGAAACATAAAATGATCATAATTGATAACATAGAACAGAAAATATTAAATTTTTAATGTATTTTTTAATGTATTTTTATATTTTATGAAACGGTCATAATTATGTGAATCAAATACAATTTTCAACCCAAAGACAAATAAAATAGCTTGTCAAATTACCAATTTTTGCAGCGTTCACGATAACTTTGTCACCAACAGTAAAATCTTGAACTGCAGCAGCGGTAAACTGACTTGGAGTTCCAAATCTCAAGCTTCTAATGGATGATGCTGGACTACGAACTATAAAGAAAAGATATTCAAGTTTGCAGTGGTTCGGAGTGAATCTATATCTGGCTCGGACTTACGTTTATAGGTTGAAAAAATTTTGGCCTTGACTTTGGCTAAGGAAATTTTAACTCAAGACTGCAGCTCTGAGAGTTCGATATTTGATAACAAAACCTTTGGCATATGGAAGCATTCTATATAGACTGTTTTCTTAATAATAAAATTAATTAATGATTTTGAGTTTCAGATTTTGAGATTTTTTGTTGAAAATTCGGCTTCTTTCGACACCCAGAAAATCAGAGTTCCCACTTCAATGCGTTCAAAATGTGATTCTACTTCGAAGAAGCAATACCAAAGTCGGATTCAGTTGGGGCCATCGATACCTCAAAGTATTTTTGGCAACAAAGACAGAGGCATATTATCTGTAATGTCTATAACCAGTCATTCAACTAGTTCCAAATTCTCAGTTTCAATAAGAATTGTTGAGAAAATTTCATATTTTGAATTCAATTTACTTCATACAAATACCTTTAGATTTTGTTTCTTTCGGACCTTCCCTTGCTTTTAATGCAGCAGCAGTTAATGGTGCTGTTTTGGGCGTCGAGGCATCACCTGACACTGTACGACTGGCACCTGGGAATTGAAATATAAATAATTCTTACTGACGTGTGCTTTTCTGATGCAGATTAAAGATTTTTTCCAAGCGTATAACCATGTTTCATGCTCGATTGAATCACAATCAAGCTTGGTTTATCGCCTGAAATCGCTTTGAATTGAATTTCATATTACCCGATTTTCGGCGCTCCAAAAGTGTGTGTACCAATATTGAGGTAACTAATTTTGTTTGCCTAATTTACATCAAGTTGTGTAAAGGAAAGGAAATTTATGTGCACAGGGTAGATTCACTTGGCTAACACAGACAGTCCCCGAAATCGGAATAGAACCAAAATAAGGAAAATCGGAATAAAATTATGGCCTCACCCTCTATGGGAGTACCCCATTTTTCGCTAAAATACACTACTGAAAATTAGAATTATTCAAAGTATGATAAAACGTTCCAAAACTGAAATTTGAACTGACTATATTATTCAAATAAATATGCTTCCAACCTTCAGAATACTTGACCACATTAAAGCTTTAGTTCCCACTTTGGGTCAATAAACAGCTGGAGTAGTGTAAAACGGTTATGCCACCAATAGAGTATCATAAAATTCTACAAGTTAGCATTGGTAAATTGTTGCATAACATCACTTTAACCAGTAATAAATAAAAAATGAATTGCACAACAGAGGTAATAGGAATCATTCAATATTACACTTATTATTCTCTCAAACCTGAGATACTTGATGATTTACTGGCAGATCCATTTGCATCAACTTTTGTCAATTTAGCTGGGCGAGCAAATATTCCATGCAGAGGTTGGCACTAAAAAAGTAATTTTTTTTTTGTCAAAATCTTTTCAATTGCTCCCAACCAATAACAAGATAAACAACAGCTCATAATATATACAATCCAGAGTCTACAGAACCTTTTTTATATATTGCGGTAGTGAAAAAAAAATTTGATGAGAAAATCTTTTTTATTGCTCACAATCAGGCACAAGACAAGTGACAGATAATAAAGTATACAATCCTGAATCCACAATACCTTTTTTTTATTTATTGCAGTTATATCTAGTCAAGAGAATTCGGCTTAACAATGAAGGACTATCATTTCTATGAATGAAAATGTGTTTTTGTGTGATACATTTGACAATAATAACATGACTGCATAGTCAACACACTTCTGACATTAATAATCTTATAAATATTTCATAGATCAAAATAGAAACAAGCACATATTCACCTCAAAATATTTGACACCAGCTACAGTTCCATCATTTTTTCCTTCCTCTTTATCCAACACAACACCTGCCCAATCACCAGGAGCAAACTGTGTTGGGCCAAGAAATTTTATGACACCTGGTTTGGTACCGCTTACCAAAACTCTTGTACCTGAATTTGAAAGAAAAATTTCAGAGATAAAAAAGATAATTTAACACAAATTTGTGTTATTAACATTTAGGATAATTCTGCAAAGTTGCAGGACTCCCCCAAACTCTCTATATTTCTTGAATGCATTAAGATTGTATTCCATGACATGAGTATTATTTGCATAATTTAATGCATCTTGACTTGACAACTTTTAGGAATAAGAATGATTTCCCATAAGCCATAATATTGTGATTATGCGATTGGAAGTAAAATTATATGAAACTGTAAGATGCGCAATAAAAGGATTTTAAATCAACTTCAGTAAAAACCAAATGGTAAAAAGTAAAATACCACTGTTTAAAACATCCACAAATTAAAATCCTTGGGAAAATTTACAAAATTATATTATAAGCCAAAGTTGAAAAGTGGAAATTGTAAATGAGCATTGCCTGACTAATACAAACAGTTATTGTATGCATTTGAAAATAATTAGGCTACTATGAACTGCAGTTATTCGCTTTGACATTAGACTCAAGAGTGTGGTGGCCGTTGGCTAGGGTTATAAGAATGGTTCTGGAAAAAGCTTTTCACAAAATAGTAAAATAACATCATAATCAATCATCATACCTACTACAAAACTACTTCCTACAGATCCTCCACCCGCTGATGAAGTTGCTTTAGGAGGCCTGATTCCACCTGATATTCACAGAATAATATAAAACTAGAATTAAAACATTTTTTCATTCAATAGTCAGGTTATAACTCAAGCCAAGAGCAGCCGAGGTAGGCAGTCAATTCCTAGTAGGGCCTATATATGAATGAGGGAGTTTAAAATTTCAACCTCTTGATAATAAATGTAATTTTTAGATATACACAAATTCCTTACTCAAATCAGAGTAAGGCACAGTTCCCCGATTTCAATATTTCCCCACATTTGATTGAATAAAACAAACACTCAATTTGTCATGAAAGCAAGGGCGTCTGGCACAATGGCAGATGCATTGGGAAGTGCCATGCTTTTGTTGATAATAATTCAATTCAATCGTGACATGCGTCGGCCGCCATATGACTAAAATTCGATTCGTATGACATAGTCCAATAGTCAGGTGGAGGTTAGAAATCACATATGCGAAAATGGTTATGCCACGCCAACTAGAAGTACCATACTTGACGGCATTTAGTGAACTAGCCCCCTTCTATAGTGTTCCACACTTCATTTTACATAAAATGGGTTTCTCTGAAACGGGACAATGTCACCCGATTTGTATAGTGTGCCGTTCAGAGAAACCCATTTTACAGATGATCAGACACCCCTCCTTTGAGAGACGTCTGGACATTGTTGTCCCTCAATATCGGTAATAATACAGTCTAATGAAGTTACGCAAAATACTACAAAAAAGCGCAATCTAGTAACGTCATCATTGAATTCCTTGGGAAAAAATAATCCGATTTACCGGAAGAAAAAAAATTTTACCGTAGCATTCGAGAGTTTTTAGCAAAAAACGGCAATTTTGGTCATGTGACGGCCACGATTAACTTGGATTATTATTGAGACAAGCATGGTGTGATATGACACATCTGACGTGGTCCCAGACGCCCCTCGTTTGTGAGACACAGAGAGTGTTTGTTTTATAGAGCCAAATGGAGGGAAATTCTTGGAATTTGTACAGGTATAGTTTGCTGTGAGGGCGATATGAATGCAGGAATGTTCAATTTTTTTAAATTGGCAACAAACTATTCTACCTGTAAATAAATAACAAATAAATCTACAAAAACAACATACTCGGCTTTGGAATTCCTTTCGTTATTTTACTGGGTTGCTTCAATCCAGATGGTTTCTCAGCCATCTCTGTCCTTCAGTTTTTCAATTTCGATTCATGCAGAAGTACGTTCCCTTCAATTAATTGTGAAATATAACGAAATAATCCACTCAATAAATTTTCATTCGATTATTTAGACAACAGATTTCATTTGTGCACCAGAACTAAAGAACTTCAGAACCTGTAAACTAAATGAAGAAAACTTGGTAGTCCAGCAACAGTGACGAGCGACGACAGACTTGTTGTGACATTGCTTTCAAGAATAGTACATAATTACAGCACCTTATCGCGGATAAATAATTAAGATACAGCTATCCGGCAGTTGGCGCTACCGAACAATAAATTTATGAATATCGCGACTTCCGAATATTGTTTTTTTTTGTGTTTATAAGAATAACGAATATGGCCCAAACTTTCCAGGGCCACCCGTCAACGTTTTGATATAACATTTTACAAAATGGATGAGAATCGGGTTCACTCATTTGATTATGACGATGATCACGTAAAAACATTTGTGTTTTTCTGAATCAACGAGTGGTTTCGTGATCACAATAAAAATTAAAGCCCGTGGTAGCTGCCCTGAAGATCGCACAGCAACTAGTTGTCATCTTATTGCCACGTTTGTTTCCGCAGGTACGTACGTATTACAATGTATCTCAATCAGTTTCAGTTGCTAGCGAAATTCACTGAGAAGACGATTATACACGTAACAGTTAACAAAAGAAAATAAATGGTGAAATAATTAAAAGTTGAAAAGATAAAAAAAAATAAAAAGAAACGAAAAACCAAAACAAAAGATTCGAATTTTGAATTTCTTGTGTGTGTGCTTATTTACGCACATTACGTTCTCTCTCAGCTGTCAACTTTTACCGCCTTTTCTCACCTCCTCCAACCGCCGCCGTCCTACTGGCCACGGCTTCCGCTTCGCCTAGCCCAGTCCGCCAACGCCAAAGGTAAACAAACATACCGTCCGTAGTTTTTATTCGGTATTTCTCTGCTCTCTCTTCTTTCCTATGTACCTTTTTCATTCATTAAGCAGTAAACTAATTCTGACGTGTATTTGTTACGGCTCCTAATCATTATTATAATTCATACGAATATCATGTCCGAGTCCGAGTTTTGTGACAGCTTGGAATGGATTAGGAATAAAATGCGTCCCCACTTTCTACTTATGGAGAAGCTTCCGAAACAAATTAATTTTGTAGGTAGAGTTTCCACTGTAAAAGAAAGTAAAAAAACAAAGTGGATAACGGTTGGACAAAATTTTGGAATTCACATTTTCAAAAAATCCAAATTCCAAACAAAGTTAAATTAGCGATGCTGCATCAAGTGCAGGGAATTTTGCAACATGTTTCTTCTGAAATTCATGTAAATGAATGTCCTTTGTTCCTAGATTATTTCAGCTATTTTTCATCGACACTATCTCATCGTGAAACATTCATTAGTAGATATTTTAGTGTTCATATTCTTCTGTATACATTTTCTAATAGTCTTTGTATGAATATTTGCTCAAAGCAAGATCATGTGCACTTCGTCGCTCACCGATCTGTCAAAGAGTGATGACATAACAGCATGATCTTAGCATTATAACAGCATTTTGGCGGTAAATGACTCGTTAGCGTTAGCAGCTCAAGTAAATAATTTTTTTCTGAGGGTATATGAGAGCTCGATGCCAACCGAGTACGTATAAAACTTTTGGACTGTAAAATCGGCACAGCGACGGAACATTGTGTCTATGGGGAAGAGCTTGTAGTTCGGACACCAGTTGAGAGTCAATTCTTTAATACTATTTTTTTTTTTATTCTTCACTACTACTTCATCCATACTGTTGCATTACATGCTGGCGCATGTTCGTTTGCCAATGTCGTGAAAGTATGTGTAACAAAGCATTCAAAATTAGACAAGAGAAAGCTCATTCAGAGAATAGTTTCTACCAAAGAATGCACAATTTTGGAAACCTCGACTGAAACCGGGATATCATATTATTTGCACAAACATATAACGATTTTAACGACAGGGACATGGTCAATACTTGGTCTCGTCAATGGGTGGTGTGACGTTGGTAATTATCTGCCAATTAAGTAAGATTTAGTCTCACTTATTTTCGACGACAAAAGTGGCGCGGTGAAAGCGCGTAAGTGTGGTAATAGATCAAGCCAGGGTTCGAATCCCACATGGTTAGAACGAGTGGTATAGTGAGAGACTTTGTGTAGAGATTGTGAGTTGGGAGTAGACATGAGTGCGAGAGAAAAGGGCCCGTCAGATCCGAAGGTGATGGTGCGCCATAAGGGGACTGGCCGAAGTGAACTAAAGGCAAAAAAAAAGGCAGTGGAGAGGAAAATAGAAACAGGGAACAAACAGGGACAAAGCAACGAACCGCAAAAGAGAGTGTGAAAATGGAGGTGAAGAACAAGAGTCAGCAAAAAATACATCCACAAAGCAGATACGTCAACGAGGGCAATTCGGGGCATGTTAAAAAGCTAACCAGCCTCCCAAAAATAGCATAAAAATAGGTTTAAAGCGGAAATCATAAATGAAGAAGGAAGAAAATAAACATAGAAGAATAAAAATACGTCGACGAGTACATTTCACTCCGTACAAAAACTTCGATGACTTCGATAATGACTCCTGACTTCTTACTTTGCGTCACTCCTTACTTTGCGTGTGTTATTAAAGTGTTTATTGTATGTGTCTCTTATTTAGATTTTCAGCTTATATTTGTTTCCCCTTTTCAAACTTTTTAAACGCAGAAGATTCCGGGTTTGGTCAGGTGTGTGAACATTATTGTATTGTTTCATCCTGGACATCGTGACGACACTTCTGCCGTTATATGCATACTATATATAAAAAGAACCGCGTTTTATGAAATCAATTGATAGAGATAACTCAAATCATGAATTGGCTTTTCAAATAGTGAATTTTATTTATTGCGTTATATTTAGTTCAGTTCGTAGAATTATCCCTAATACCTCATTTTGTGACGCGGGTACTGACACAATCTTTCAATATATTTTCCTGAGTCGCCACTGTACATGTGTCATTATTTGCATACATATGTACTAATTTAGTCACGATGATTTTGTACTGTTTGCTCTGAAACCCAACCCTTGTGAAATAATTTCAATATACCCTAACCCCATCCTTGTTATTTAATTTACATGACGACATTATTTCGACAATTTTTTTTAAATACAGTGCAATAGACTGGGTGCGTTTTGTTTATGTTGTTATGATAATTGCATGTTCAAAGTTCATATTTACGACAAGTGGACGGAGCCAACAAGCCGTAACATAGTCGTTCAAAATGGTATTTTCTCCCAACCGTCGCCAAAACTCCCTTCTAAGGCGTTCGCTGAGTGAGCCAACAAACATGTTATCCTGAATATTTCGATGCAAATATTCGAAGACAATTCAAAGTACACAACTTTTTTACGTCATGTGGGCGCATTGACTCCTTTGACGTCATGGATATTTAATATACGGTTGCTACCGGAATACTTCCAAATAAGTTGCCAATTTGGTAAATACGTCTAAATGAAATTTTTCCAGGAACGGTCAACCAATAGCATTGTACAATCTGCATTTCAGGCAAATATATCATGCTATGTATATTTAATCAGAATTGAAATGAATAGACAATATATGCGAACGAATTCCCAGGTGGATAAAAGATAATGAAACTTCAATAATATGGAGACACATGTTCTCGATGTTTGTCAGACAAAAAGAATAGTAATCATATCTGTGCAAGTGTGGAAAAAACGATGGCTTAACTGTAGAATTCCAAACAACACTACGAATATGCGAATATACTGCAACTGCACTATTGTGTTTACGTATGTCATGAAACAAAGGAGTTCTAAATACGCCAATTACACGCCATTGGGGTAGCCGGTAACGGCTTCATTATCAAAACAGACAGCAAATAGAGGTCTTGAATTAGAAAAGGCAAAATTAATCACCTAAAATGAGACCAGCTCTCACAGAACCAGTTGAAGATATGTTGAAAATAAACCGCTGTCAATTCACATTGTTTTATTAGAAGTTGAACTAACATGTTTTTTTCTCAGATCTTTTGTGTTAATTCGTCGAAGTTTGAATTCATCTGAGATTCATCTTTGTCTTTTTATGCTTCAATGGAGTCATAATGACATGGCGTTCGTTGCGTTGACGTTACCCACTTTCGAAACTCACAACACGTCAGACAGAGTTTCCCCGACATGGTCATCGACGCCTCTATCGAAACTCATTACTTGCATTGAATTCCACTCAATTAGGTTTGACCTAGAATTTCTGTTTGCTAAAATATTTTTTTGGATTATCTGCGACCACGATGAGTCATCTGACTCGTAAAACAAACAACATTGTGCGACAACATAACAAAATGCCAATTATAAAACTGCTTTCGCAAACAGATCGTTTCATTTAAACAGCAGCGTCGCGTATTTGAGGACAGAAATTACGACCGAATTTATGTCGAGAGTGTGAACCGAATATTCAAAATGCAAATGATGAAAATTAGTCAGTTTGCGAGCGTAAAGTTCGAGGATTTTATGAAGTCATGAAGGACATTGTTAGAAAATATAGAAATATTGCTTTTTGATATACAATAGAGTTTTAATGATATATGCATGTAGAACTATGTGTTTTAATAGGACCTTGTTTGTTTCGTATTATTCTTTCTTCCGCGAGCGCGAACAAAACGCGAAGATCTGACATTGAAGCAATTCTCTTTGCAATTTACAAATGTGTGTCGACATGTCATTGATATACGACACCAGTCGTTCAAAACTAAATTTAATTATACACACGTTTAACCAATTTGTTATTGTAATTAAGTATGTAAAATGCAAATATATTTAGCTGTAATTTTTAATTACAACGGGATATACGGTAAGATTTTGTAATGCCGAGGCCTGCAGCTATGTTGGAATGCTGACGGTATTTATAGTAATACTGTATTTGTTATGCAGCCTCTGTAGTATCTTGCTGACTTCTAGCTGAAAATCGAGGAAGCAATTGGTTTAATTCAAAGTTGATTTTGTCTAGAAAAGTCCGACTTACATTCTCAGACGAAACACTATTTACTTAGGTGGTGTAGCAGTCGATTCTTGAGCACAGTAATTTGTTTAAAGTTTATTTATGCTATGCATACAGCTTTAACACTTTATATATTTGCTGTCCATCATCGCTTGTTTAATTAAGAACTGCATTACAAAGCAGTATGATTGAACTTACTTTAGACGGATTTATTTATCTTCACAATTTGCACATCACATGGAACGCTATAGCAAACTTTTACTTGAATACATACGTGCAAAAAACGAATTTTCGATTATGAAGCCACGTCGTCGATTATTTCAACACTGCTGTTTTTACTCAGCCAGCATCGTCGATCACTTTATCGTTGTACCTGAGGTTAAATATTTAGATTATTATAGATTGCTTTCCATTCTCTCAGACTTGAATGCACCTGATAATGTAATGCTAAAGGGTATTGCTTCATGTAGGCTACTGCTGTGGGAGACATTATATATTCGTTTTCAATAGAGAAAAAGGTGCAGACTTTCAAGATCTTACATTTTGAACAGCGAATTAGGTATGCAAGCATTGCAAAAGTCAAAATAAGTTTCTTCATTGAATCCGCTATGTTGTATAACAACTAGAACAGCGCACTGCCATTTTACTCTTATAAATGTACGAATTATAAACGTCGAATATCTTGTTCTAGTTGTGTATTGAAAAAATCCTACAATTTCTATGTTACAGCAGTTTTTCTATAGGCAATTGTGGCAAATAAAAAAATGACAGAAAAACGTACCTTCGCAGCTGCTGATTATGTAGTGTTTGGACTAATGTTGGGAATATCCGCACTTATTGGGATATTTTATGCAATCAAGGATCGCCGATCGAAAGCAGGAACGGAGGGTTATCTCATGGCTGGCAGGTATTTAAATTCAATTAAATTTTGAATTTTCCAAAACAAAAAAAAAATGCTGGGGTGTGCAGAAATAAAATGACAACGGGAGACTCGGGCTATACGAGTTCAAATTTCTTACATATTGCAATTTTTTAGCATATTTCCCCCGAATAACGCTCTTCACAAACTAGTTCTACGGTGTTTAAGACTGGAATCTTCCCGCTTCGGGCATGTACGCCATGGGTAAGGTTGTGGGTATGTCCTATGGGTTCGTGATCGTTATCACGGAAAGCCGCTTTCAGGCTTTTGAAAGGTCCAATGACTAGGTTAAGATTTCATTATATCTTATCATACTTACTGCCTCATTTTTTATATTTATATAGAGATAAAAGTCCCTAAGGAAGTTAACGATTCATTCCTATATTTGCTGAAGTTATTCAAAGCAGTTTTCCATGTATGAGTCGAAAATTAATTGTTTATTTTTATTATCTCGTAAATTTCTTTCTAGGTCAATGCACTATATTCCCGTCGCTTTATCGTTGACTGTAAGTTTCATGTCTGCCATCACTGTACTTGGAACACCAGCTGAAGTATATATATATGGAACGATGTATTGGTGGTAAGTGGTTAACACAAACATTGATAACATTGTCGTTAAACCACAGCAACAGAACGGGTATATGAAAAAGCCATACTACACACCAAAAACAAACACAGTGCCAGACATAATGTCGAATATTCTGGTGGAAAATATTGCATTTGTATACTTTAAAATGTAGCAGGGTGCTTTGTTGCATCGTGCCTCCACAAGGTACAGAATAGACGCGCAGAAATGACGTTGAGTGTTAACTGCAATAATATTCCATATACTTAATCTTTGGAACCACAATATTATCCTGGCCAATTCTAAACGTTGTATTGACAAATATCATTTACCCAAACAACACAAACAATCTACATTACAAAATTTGTTAAAATGGTTTGTACTGATATTTGGAAGATATACTGAAATATATTTGAAAGATATGTGTATATGTAGTTCAGAAACTTTAATCCAAACAAGAAAGTGTGTTTATGTTATTCAGGTTCGTTCTTGTATTTCTTGTGGTTGCAATAATCACATCTCAGCTGTATATTCCAACATTTTATCGACTTGGAATTTCAAGCACATATGAGGTATGCTATGGAAACAATAGTGTAAAAGATAGGAGAGCTCTAAAATACAATACTGTATTACGAAATGAACTAAGATTCTCATTCACGATATCAAATTGTCGAAGTGAATTTGGAAAAAAAAAATTTTTTTTAACGGAAAATGACAAAGCCACTTTATCCTAATGCAAATCTTACCCTAATGCCCGTCTTCGTGTCAGATGCTCATACTGCGACCGCATTTGCGTAGTAATCTGAAATCTTACGTTGTACGAAATCTGACATCAGTTTACTTCGACAATTATGAATAGCCATTATGACAATGAAAAACCATTTAAATGTTATGAACGTAGTAAAACATTGTCTTATTGTCACTGAAATATAAATTGGCATTCACCACGTATTTCTATCAAATAGATTTGCAAATTAAGCTCAATGAATTCGAGTTACAGTTTCGGAAAGTAAAATAAACTTCGAGGTTTGTGGCTTAATTTAAAGGTATCAGATTATAATTTGCGGTCTTCTATCATTCCAACAACACGGTTTATATTATTGTAACTACATTTTTAAACCGTGCTAAACGTGATTAAGTTGTTGAGTGCGAAACGAATGTTAAATGCAGGATGTGCTCACCATTAGCCTGGTTGCATGTCCATATTACTTCGTTATGCTAATACACCTGTTATTTTTTGCAGTATCTTGAACGAAGATTCAACAGAGCTGTAAGATTGCTTGGAACAGTAACGTACATTGTTCAAAACATTATGTATATTGGGATCGTAATATACGCACCTGCACTTGCTTTGAATGAAGGTATAATTTGTTTATATATGAAACATATGAAATTCAAAAAAAAAGGCGAATATCATAGGGTCAAAATTAGTCTATGGGTGAATTTCATTAATCTATCGTCATAATTTTGTGCACAAAATTATTTCTATCAATAAAAATGTCTCAATTAATTGCGAGGCAACAGACACAATTTAATCAGTCGGCAACTCTTTTTCGGCAGTGCGTGAAATCCAAAGCTGATTGTTATCTTTCGGATGAACTCGTAAAGTTGAATACTGTTTCAAAATTTGGTAATTCGGCAATTTTTGACTGCATAAATACTAGTAACTTTATTAAAAAATATTACAGTCATATACTTAAATTATAAAAAAAAACGTTTATTACATTTAAACATATAGAGTGTATGTGCAACAGTCAATATTGGAAATATTTTTACTTCATTTTTCACTCAGTACATTTCATTTGAGTGTATTTTCTACTATATTGAGAATGCAAGTTGTTATTCATACACGAACGAGTATAAGACACAGATAGCATATATTGTTTATCGGCCCGTCGCTGGTGCGTGTTAAGCAAATATCAAGATTTGTAATTCAGGCACAACAATTAAATTTGCCCAAACATTACAAATTTACTAACGTTTTCTCAGATATTGAAAAATAAATTCATTTTGAGCAAGTAGAAATGCCTTGAATGTCCTGTTAAAACAAGGCATACGATAGACATGCCTGGGGGCTGGTAGATTAAAAGTTATTTGATTGAACTGCGGCTATATTTGTTTACGTTTCCAAACAATGCTTTAATTCTGATATTGGCGCTTCAGAAGTATGCGTACCGATATGGGGTAATTAATTTTGTTCGCCTACTTTACATCAAGTTGTGTATATAGAGACTGAAGCCTATGTACAGGTGGTATATTCACTTGGTTAACACAGACAGTCCCCAAACTTGTCATAGAACTAAAATAAAGAAAATCGGAATAAAATTATGGCCTAACCCTAACCTGGTACGGTACACATACTACGGGAGTACACTGATTTTTGCATTTGATGATCTATCTTTTACCTCTTACATTTTCCAGTGTTCTCTTAGTTATGCACACTTTTAATATTACCATCGATTAATTTATTTCTTGTTGTTTAGTTACCGGATTCGATCTATGGCTGGCTGTGATGTCAACGGGGATTGTCTGCACATTCTACACTACATTGGTAAATATTATTGAAAAAATTCTAATTCTTATTTTGTAGTGACACAATTTGCATAGATACTGTTAGTTTGCGATCTGCCAGCTGTGCGTTTCCTATAATTCATATCAATATTAATCTTGGTATAAATATGTCGGATATGTTTTTAAATCAATGATATGTTATGAATGAGGACAGATGCATCTTCTGCTGAGATCGCTTAGCAGTCTTCACACGAGGTTCAGATACCATCCCATGCTAAGTATTACACAATTTTAGGCAATTTATTTATTCACATTTTTTAAGAAAAAGTGATTTACTCAAAAGATTGATTGTTGCAAACTACCATATGTGCGAATAGTTTTCATATTGGTTCTGTAGAATTTATGTTCTGGCTATTGTTTATAATGGAATACGATTGACAATACGAAGCGCAATTCTCACCTGATATGCTTGATGCAACTGCGTTATGCATACTTCGTGATGGCAACGGACAATTCAGTGACGACCGTTCTTTGTGCTCGCATGTTTAAAGTCCTTTCGCTCTTTTGTTAAATAGTTTTAATAGATCATTTCAATATTTACACGGGCGCTGTCTGTATATACCTTAACCTATAGAAATTCAGTAATATATTTTTTGTCATGGCGTTTACAATGCAAAGAAGAAGTTATACCGCGAGTTAGTTCTATTGTGCTTGCGACCACGGCACAGCTTTTTCGAACTCCTGGTTTATATGGCACCATATCAGACGGATCAATTACTTTTTTAGGGTTGTAATGATTATTTGAAACGCCAAGTCTATCGAATCATATGACAATTTGTCATCTTCATTATCACTTCTGCTTCACCTTCATTTTCATTTCAAATTCAAGACTTTGTTTCATTTTAACAGGCCAAAAAAAAAGCACTAATTCACAAACAAAATTTGTAGAGTAATATCGTTCTACTGGTATATTAGGTAGAATGAATGAATCCACTGATCTTCCTTGCGTGATTTACATAAATTTAGTTGGCTGCCGTACATATATATATTCTTGTCTGTGCAAAACAACGTTCCCACCGCAGTAGTGATTTCTTGGGCAAAGCCTTCATTGTATAGCCAAGGTGCTTAACGCCTGAAAATATTCAAATACACAATATTTATTCGACCTCTGATTTTACAGGGTGGTTTAAAAGCTGTGATATGGACAGATGTGTTTCAAGGCACCATTATGTGTGCAGGATTTTTAGCAGTTATTATTCGAGGAAGCATAATCGAAGGAGGATTCGATGTTATTTGGGAAAAGTGTTACAACGCTGGAAGAGTTGATTTTATTCAGTAAGTATGAACTTGTGGAAATTGTATTTGTACTATGAACATACTTTGAATTAAAATCCGCCATAAATTTTTTCAATAGAGATTTTGTTTTGTGAGGTTTGACCCACTTTGACCGGCTTGAATGGCTTTATGACGTCATCTTTTGTATTAATTGGGTAGTTTTATTATTGTGACGTCACCGTTTGTCATATTTTCACTTTACTGCTAACTCATTAGAGTTTTAGAATACTCGTGTTGGTGATGAAATTCACAATAAAACTAAGGCGATTTGAAATATTCACAATAAACATTTTTGTCAATAATTCAGGTTTGAAGGAGATTACAGGATCAGACACACATTTTGGAGTATTTTTTGTGGTGGCACAATCACGTGGTTAGGTGTGTACGCGGTCAGCCAATCACAAGTTCAAAGATATTTATGTTGTAGATCTGCCCGACAAGGAAGCTAGTACGTACATATTAAATGTAATCCAATTAACTAGAATGTTTCAAAAAATTGTTGAAATGATTGCAAGTTAATGAAAAATAACAGCCCCTAACTGAAAATATATTTTTGGCGTGCTAGCGGCGAAACATATTATTTTTGAGGTGTTTAAGAAAGATTGCAAAATCCTTTCGTGTTATTATGAATTCACTACTTTGTATAAAGTTCAGCACGGAATGTTTTTTGAAAAATGCTATTATTAATGATGAAACAATTCAGTATATAACATTTCAAAGTCATATTATGCGTACGTGATGTAAACACAGTTCCTAGAGTATTATGACGTCACACGTTCATAAAAACAAATTTCACCTGATGACTTTAATTAATAAACCTGAACTTGTTTTTTGTTGTTTACGAATTGTTGTCTTGAATTGTCCTCCAGTCATGCGTGGTTCAGTCATTGGAGCATCAGAGATTAATGGGAATTTATTTACCAGTCTAACTAAATACTAAACATTTGATGAAGATTTAAAATAAATGAAATGAAAATATTCGAATGTTTGATTGAATTTAGCAATAATATTGTACTCTGTCATATATCCTTCATGAACCATATACATAATATTACTATAAAATATACAAACAAACGGAAGAAATTTTACCTATTTTTTTACAGTAAAATCATTTTTGTTTATAGCGCTTTATTCCTCAATGTATTCGGGTTGTTCGTCATCATAAGTTTAGCATGTATGTGCGGAATGGTGATGTATGCTTTCTACAGCGATTGTGATCCACTGGGACAAGGCTGTGTTTCTGCCTCTGATCAGGTGAACTACGATTGAATTAAATATGGGCGACATCTCATGATTTGAATATATTTTATATGAAATTATGACAGAGTTGGACAATTTCTTTAGTAATAAATAGTTGTGGATATTTTTTGAATGTAAATTTTTCTTATCACACTTCGGTTCACAACTTCACATACGGCAGAATTGTTCCTGACCTGTCCAAAAATATTTAAGAAATATAAGTAAAATTCGGACTACACGCGACTGTACCCATGTTGCAACCGATGAACATCAGAACATACACAACATATAATCTAATAGCATCAAACGTCCGTGTGATCATCCGTGTGTATATCTATGTATGCTTATTTTCAATTTCAATGCAGTCACATATACTGCAGTATCACTCGGCAGCAAACAACGAAAGTACATATTGCAGCAAAGGTTTTTGTAAATTTGGGCATTCTACACGTTTTCACGAATTATCATGAAATTTTTAAACGCTCATATACAGCATGATTGCATTCGAAGTAGTACTTTTATATCCACAAAACAATTTTTATAAGATTGAGATGGATTGATTAAATAGCAATCTATCTGGGAATGTGTTTCATGAATGTCTTCTTCGTGTAATCCCATGGGACAAATGTTGACAGATACGTACAACGTCGTAATACGTACTGGTTTTACATTTCCTAGAATTGGTTTCGGTATGATCCAACTTTCTGACGCCAAAATTGAATAAAACAGATCGTTTCATTTGAATTCTATAGATACTTTGCATACACCTCGAGTATTCGTGGTATGATATAAAATACAGGAAATTATTACTTGACATTGAAGTCCAAATACTATGGGTGATTACGCAATATTACCACCTTTGAATTACCGCATTCGCACGCACTGTATATGTACAGTCGGTAACATGTAATGAGGATATGGGAACTACCAATAGAAATATCGATATCTTTTCGATTTTATAGCAAACCTCTTGCTTAATAATATGACACATAACGTCATTAGCTGATTTTAAGAAATATTGGCAAGTATAACTCATAATCATATTTCGATTTTGCATTAGTATGAAAAAGACATTTTTTTACTATATGATGAGCTTTTTTCTTGAGTCTATGATTTTTATTTTATTTTCCAGTTACTTCCATATCTCGTGATGGATATTCTGCAAGATTTTCCCGGAATTCCTGGACTGTTTGTATCATGTGTCTTTTCAGGAAGTTTGAGGTAACTCAGAGAGTTATAATTGTTGTACAGAATAACATAATCCAACCAAGGGACGATTAACGTTTTTTTATACTTACAGCACTGTATCATCAGGAATCAACGCAATGGCTACAGTTACTATTGAAGATTTCATCAAACCCGTGACAAAATGGAAACCAAATACTTATACATGGACATCTAAAGGTATTTTAGTTTATTTACCAACAGATTGGCATACTTTAACCCGGCAATTCTGGCTATTTCATTGCAATGGGCTATTATGTACATAAGGTGTATTGTGACCTCCCAATAATGCATCCAAGAATGTACCATATTAGTATGAAGTTTGCTTCAATCAAGGCTTGAAACAGCAAACGAAACAAAGGTTGCGACTGCCGGAACCCAAAAGGCTAATTCATCAACCTTAGTTGAAGACCCAAAGCATGGAACAATTGAAAGATATTAGTCATACATGGGTTTCGAGGTTTCGAGGTTCAATTATTTCCTTCATATTTACATATGAAGTATGGAATTTCCAACCAAGTACAGAGATCAAAATTGCTTTTCGTTTTACTCAATGAAAGTGGCCTCTGTTTTTCTAGGCCTGGTCCTTCTTTACGGTGGCTTGTGCATTGGAATGGCGGCTCTCGCATCAACTTTAGGTGAAGTACTTCAAGCAGCTCTCAGCATTCTTGGATTGGTGGGAGGTCCTCTCGTTGGACTTTTTACGTTGGGATTAATCTTTCCGTTCGCAAATTCTATAGTAAGAATTTCTATTCAACTTATATATTAAAATTAAATGGCCAAGCATTGACAATGCACGACTAATTCTGTACCCAAGCATAACTTATATACTGCTTTTCAAGATATTAATATTTAGGCCGGATCGGGACAAACTTGTTTATGTTTAGTGCGCGTTTAACTCTGTTTACCATACACGGATTATCTCTACTCAAAGATTTATAGTCAACCGCTGGGTGCATTGCACGCAGTCACGACTAAATTTAACTATGTACTTATTATAGCAACTGTATCTTTTAGTACCTTTGCTCTTGTACAATTTTTAGATCTCTTCAAATATTTTTATTTCGAAATCGCGTACGTACTGTCCTAACAAGATTTGCATATTAATATTACATTCCTGTACGCACTTCAATTTTTTAATTTACAATAGGTTGGTCTACAAATGCCCAGAAGCTGGCAATTTTAAATGCTATTATGCAAAAAATATGATTGGTAAAATTTCATTCAATAAGAATAATATGAGTTAAATACAAAATTTATTTGTGCAATTTCTATTATGCAGGGTGCTTTTGTCGGTTTACTGTTCGGACTTTTTTGTTCTTCGTGGGTTTACATTGGTAGCAGATCATATCCACCTGCACCCGAGTATACTAGAAAATTGCCTTTTGACAACAGTGGATGCGCCCCGGTATGCTATTGGCAGGAACTGCCTAATGCAACTACCGCTTCTTATGACGTCACTCAAACAATGACGTATACGAATGCTACAACTGCTGCTAATGAGGAATATCCTCCGATTGCTGATTTCTATGCAATGTCGTATCTATATTTGAGTACGTTTGGAATGCTGGGAACAATAGTTGTTGGACTAATTTTAAGTTTATTAACATGTGAGTAAACTTTTTATTCATATTTCCGACTATTTTTATCGTTGTTTGCAGTTAAGTTAGCATAAAAAATATAAACGTGTTTGAAATAGTTTCTCTGAAGCAGAATGTGTTTCTGTTTAACATAGTATTCCATCAAGTATATGGTTGCTGCAGTCACGTTACAACGTAAATCTTGTCTGACCACTTTTCCCATGGCGCCAAAACTAATTAAAAGTTTTGGTTCGCTTAGTTTGTCATAGTTGACTAATGGCTGAAAAGCAACTCTATAAAACAAGAACTAGGAAAACAACTAGAGAGGAACAGTGTTTCTCATAGAAACCACTTATGCGCTATGCCAGTGGTTCCTAATCTTTTTTCTGAATTACCCACTCTCGATATAGAGAGGGTTTTCATTCTTCACATAAAATGTGGTAAGACTTAGTTTAGTTGGGTGTAAAATCCAATTCCCCAGTTAGTTCGGAGCTTTTGTTTTGAAGACACAACTCTTACAAAAGATTGTAGTTATAGAAAAAGGTGACATTACGTTGCTTTGAATAACTGCTCATAGTCTTGCGCCTCCATAAACCTCTACGCAGCAACAGGTTTACAAGAAATTTTCTCGAAATCTCAAGTACTTGGGCACCATGGGCATATTCATTTGCTTAGTGTTATAATGATTTGTGGATAGTTACCCACCGGTTGGGAACCACTGCACTATGCAGTATTTACTGTTTCTAAGGACACACAACTGTCAGGCAAATCGTCAATAGGGTGCAAGCGCCTAAAAGCTTGGAACCACTGGCTTCGCCCTTAAACCTATGTAATAAGTATTAAGACTTATCGTGTTTTGTCACAGGTGGATGGAGAGATCGCAAAAACGTCGATCCAAATCTACTAGCCCCGTTTTTTGATAACTGGATATTTAAATGGATTCCAGAAAAATTCCGTTACATTTTGAGATGCTGTGTAAAGGAACGAGACGACGACTACCACGAAAAAGTCCAAAGTATGGCAACAATGGCAACTTTTGCAGAGGTATGTAGGGTTTTACAAAATGCATATTGTGTTATTGTAAATATTCGAAATATTTGGCCAATACTATTTTCATTTCATAAGATTAAACAATTGTAATTGAAGAGAATCAATAAATTGTTTTTGGAGGTACTAATGTAGGATTTTACCAACAAATTCATCTTTTTGGGCTATAAGGGCTACTCATCTTCTAAATTATGTTTTGGTACAAATGCCCCGTCACAAAATAGTCATTAGTTCTCTAACGATAAAACAAAAATTTCGAAGCTATGCAGTTATTGTGTATTTTGTTAAGCATCACGTGTTTAAATGATGCTTTAGTTTGCGACTAGAAATAATTATCACTTTCATCGACCATTTGACAGATTTCGCCTTTGGTGGCATCCGAGAGTGATGCTCGAAGTAGTCAGGTAGATAGTATATGGTGTTTATGGGTGTCGTCACTGTGTTTTACTGCCTTCCTTAATTCTGCATGGTTTTAATAATTTTGTTGATATCGACGAGTCGTGGATTGGTCTATAACCCGGATTTAGGTTCCAGGTTTACTCTCTTTATTAACAAATAAGAAAATGGAACAACGGATTACTTGTGTATTATAGTCTGTCGGAGGTAGTTTCATAGCTCTCTACTCCTTTTAACTCAAATGGAATAATATATGTAAGATTTCAAGATGCAGCGACTTCTCTAATCATGGCCATTTGTCATAATACTCGTTCAGGTTGTATGTGGTAATAGCTAGCTAGTTCAAGCCATACAACCGATAAAGCTTAATCGATCAGGGGTTACAAGAATTAATATACGACATTTGCATCACCCATAAAACGGAGTGCGCCACCCGTTGCTAATTTACTTTTCTGCTGAATTTACATAGCTATACCTATACGTTGGAATTTTGCATGAATTCCAAGGAACTATCTAAAGCAGTTTGTGATATAATGAATAATAGTTATTCATCATTGGATCAGTCCTCCATTCAAAATTCAACAGTTCCTAACATTTTATTTGCTGTTTATGGAAGTATCGACTTTTCACGGAAGCCCATGTTAAATTTATTACAATTTACGCAATTATCTACAGTTAATTACCGTTTTATTTCCCTATTATCTCACAACTTCTATAATTTTTTTGCATGGGTGTTGGTGTCTCGAGAATCAAGTTAAAACTTCTTCCGAAGTTAATTACTATTTATTGATATGTCTGTGAATTGGAATTACAAAAAAAATTCTATACTCCATAACTATATTTCAGAAGATGATTTATATATTATAGGAATCATAATTATTCTGATACTTGAACTCTCGCGACAATTTTTTACAGTTGACCCATCAATACCGTTTTCAAGCAAATGTTCGTTCCCTAAATATTTGAGTTATCTCATAATTCTTTAAAGTTATTTCATATATTAACTACACATTGTAAGCAGAATCGAGACTGAATTTACGAAAAAAAAATCAATCTTCATTTATTAAGATAATTTCCTTTAATTTTAGAGCAAGAACTGATTCAAAATGTTTAAATTTTTTAGAACGGACTTTCTGCAATTTCACTCAAAGTAAAATACGATCACAGTGAATATCCAGAAAAGAGAGAACCGACAGAAAAGGAAATTGACGATGACTTTTTAGTGATGAATTAATGCAGAAAGTATCAGCAAGAGAAAAAATGTGTCACTGCTACATCACCACTATTTGTTTTATTATTTCACTCATATAACACTCGTTTACGCGAAACGTGGCAGTATTGGCGTAATATTTGATTTGATCGCCCATTATGGAATCGTGGCACATTAAATAAAAATCTAGAAAACACCAAAGTTGAGCTAAAACATTGTTGTATGTTTTAGCGGGTCATAATTTATCGAAGTTGTGGATTCTCTTTCCCAAAATACCCTTGTAAATACTACTTATATTTTGTAGAAGCTTCATTTGGTGTTTGGTATTTTCAAAAGTGGGATTTTAACCAAGCTATTTGTATATTTGCTACGACACACCCATGATCTTCATCTGAACTCGAAGGCATAAACCTCACGGCTGCAGTAAGAGGTTTTGTGTAGTTTCCGCGCAAGAAGCGTATCAAATTGCTCGTGTTTTGTTGAATGAAACTTCAGAAAATCAATACCATTGTTGCTTTTTTATTCCCCCTTTTTACAAAGAAGGGTGGCTCATGGTTTACACAAATATATATTCCTACATATCATTCATGACTAAAATAAGATGTTATTGAAACATTGGAATATTAATCATATGACGTTAAAATATGAACTTTGATGGTTAATCAGGGATTGAATCAAAATTGAAATAGAATCAATTGAAAAGTTGTATTTTGATCTAATTTTTGTTGATGTTAATGTAGGTGCTAGTGATTTAGTTCTTGTTTTATTGCTTCATGTTATGTGTTTGAGCAAAGCAACAAAATAAAAAATATTGCGGGTTTTTATAAAATTTTTTTAGGTGTTGAACTATGAATAAAGAGTATTTGATATATAGAAAACCAACAAAAATCCCACTTAATTTATGATACGAAAGCTTCACAAACATGTCTGCCTCTAATTTATTCTCGCTCAATGATAAAATCACAAAAATAACAAGCAAAGTTTTCGTCAGTTGTGTAATGCTATAATTCGAAATGGAGTTGCGGAAATACTAAGCAGTTTGATGATCAGTGCAGTAGGAATGCAGATGATACCGTTGAGTGAAGCGTAGTGAAATAATAAAAAAAAATAGAATCAGACAAACATTTAGTTACCTAATGTACAAACTACTGCGAATGTCGCAAAAATATTGTGTCCCACATTCCCCGGTTGTCCTAATTGTACAAACCTCGCTTCATATGAAGACTCTCATTCGGTCAAATTACTAGGCCTACATCTATCTTAACCCAGAACATAGTAGAAATCTCAATCCGTATGCTTAATTTAACCATTTGCCCACATTATAACTACCCTAACTCAAAGAAGGTGGGTCAGTGGCACAAGTGTGGAAAAAGTGGGGCAAGTGTGGGACAGTTTCAAGACATAGAATTATTATTACTCAAATCTGCTCTTTTCTCACCAAAATACAAACAAAACAGCGCTCTTACTCCATAGTGACACCTTAATTAAACACTAATTAATTGATAACTCGCTAATTATACGACATAATTCGCCCAAAATCAATAGGCTTCTGGTCCGAGATAAGATGAATGCACATGCAAAATCTGGAGCAGATTCAATCTCGCTTTCGTGAGATATCGCGTGCATCTAACAGACACACACACAGACAGACAGACAGACATACATACAGACAAATACCTATCAATATACTTACCGATCTTAAGATCGATAAGTAATTAGTTTGGTATAGACAGGAGGGAGTGATACGACCAGACGGTCATCAAAGTCAACTCCCTCTTCACGCTATTATGTTCAAGATTCACAATTTCAGAGTCCTTTCTTTATTTTCAGTTGGATTACATAATTGAAAGCTTATAACTTATCGATTTTAATCGGTAAGTATGTTGATAAGTATTTGTCTGTCTGTATGTCTGTTAGATGCACGCGATATCTCACGAAAGCGAGATTGAATCTGCTCCAGATTTTGCATGTGCATTCATCTTATCTCGGACCAGAAGCCTATTGATTTTGGGCGAATTATGTCGTATAATTAGCGAGTTATCAATCAATTATTGATATAGTGATCTAGATTTTTGTAAAGCGAGAGAATTTTGAAACCCGCCGAGTGTGTGTGTGCGATGCGCAGTGCGCAAGTTACAAGAGCGGATGAATCGAAACTGCAGTTTCTGTTTTGGGGGATCCCCTAACTATCGATCGATAAGTCTTCGGTTTCCAACCGATATTCTCGTTTATTACTTGTTAATATTTTTATTATTACGATGACTGTTATTTTAATTTGGTTGACGAAAAAATAAATCTATCTCTCTCTCTCTCTTTCGTTGGAATTGCTTATATTATAATGGATTGCATCATAACGTGCAATGAACTAAATTTTCTGCTCGATTTTTCAACTCAATATGTTGACTTGTCAAATGTATTTTCAGCTCGCTCGTTTGAATCATGCGGGACTTTTATCTGAAACAGAAAGAATGGTTAATTGACGTCGTTCAAGTATGAATCGGCTTGAAAAAAGTTTCAGAAATAACAAAACTCACATTTAGTTTTAGATAATAATGTACAAAATTTGTTCAGTAGTAATTATACCCACACAATACTTGTAGAGAAATCTAACATTTTTATTTCCAAATTGATGTAACAAAAATTGCGTAATTAATATTAGCACTTCTGTGAAGATTTTATTAGGTTTGTTCAGCCACGAGCACCAGGACAATATAGTGAATTTGAAAATCATTTGTCGACATAAAACTCACAAATTAAATGTTTTATTTATGAAAAGATAAATTTCCTGGTTATCATTTAATTGTATATTTTACATATTTAGAAACCAACTCGAACTAATAAATACATAAATATACATTTAGAATTGAGTAGGATTCAACTGTTTACCTAAGAATGGTAGTGAATTTCTTGTTAAAATTAACAGGCTATTACTTTGTATAAAACACTGTCAATATTTTTGTCGAGAGTTGAAACGTGATCCCCCAAACCAACATGCGTACGTGGGTATGCAGATCGAAGCCTTTTTCAATTTTGCAGAAAGATACTTAAGCTTCGATCGACAGCCGAAGTCATTCGGGTGTGATTAGTTGCTAACGAGTTTTTTGGGTTCGTATTGAGGAAAGGTAACATAAACGCTTTTTCGATTTTCAAATTTGTAGGGTATTAGAAGTGTAAGAATGACATACAACGACTATTATATTAATGAGTGCTTGTACTTTAGGATTCAAAGAGTAGTTTCATAATTCCATTTGTTTGTGTTATTTTTATTTGGACCACAGCGGTCTGGAGTAATAAACGAATTGAATGAATAACAATTGTGGACCATATATATGGTGAGCGCCTCAATTAAAATTAGATATTTAATTAATGAATATTCATATTATACATCTGTACGCTTTCATAAAAGCTTGAAATCTATTAGAAATCGCTTTCGGCCCAGATTCGTACCTCTCTAGTAGGATGAACGTAGCAAATTCATTATATCATGAAATTTTGAACTAGTATTATCAGTTAAGTTTAAATGAGCAGCAGATGGTTTTAGCTTCTGAGGACCAAAGTCGTATATTTTATGAGTTAGGGCAGGGGTGCGCAAACTGTGGTCCGCGAGGGGAAATTGTGCGACTCGCGGAATAGTACCAATTTTGAATGGTGTGCCCACAAAATGAGTTAATAGTTTAGTTAATCGGGTAAGTGCAAGCAATTCCAGTCTTTTGCGTCGCAAAGCCTATACCAGTACCCGAGAGGCACCAGGTACTAACTCACCATTTCTGCAAGAACCCCGAATAATGTCGTAAGATCAATAACAAAAAGAAACAATTATTTGTGCCTGCAACTACCACAAAGGCTGTTTCAAATAAAGCTGCGGCCCGCGGCTTCACACAGTCATTTGTATCGGGTTCTCCTGTAATAAACAACCCTGAGTTGGGGCAATATCGAACAGCAACGTAGAAACAACGAGGAATCTATGTTTATATTGTCGTTTATAGATCATACGTGGTCAGTACATTCTCACCAACCGGGCGTTGTATAAATAAATCGAAAAATTTCGATTCAAGTAGCGGCTTATCTAAAAAGTGTAAAACAGCCGACAAAACCAACTCCACTGCAAAATTTGATTATACCTATTGTTATAATCACGGAGAATAATAATTTAGGGAGAAAGCTGAAAAACAAATTTCCGAAGAAAGTGTCGCAGTCGTTCAGATCTTGTCTGTTGATAACAAGGAATTTCTAAACGGTCGTTGTGAAATATTGACAATGACTAATACACGTTCGTATGACGTTGAATATGAATGAACAAGTTTCCATAGTGATATATTAATTTTTGTATTACGAATTTCGTCCGAAATTTAGTCATTCGATTTCGTTTTTATGTGAACTTGAAATCGATCGCTATTTATGATCATGCTATACGTGGCATAATAAAACTGCAAAACCTTATTTCGATCGAGTTCTTGCCGTAAACCGCGTGTTTGTTTCGTCGGTATTGTTTCGTCCAATTTACGATGGGTTTGATATCAAATATCACCTTTTTTACGGTCATGACAGACATATTTTTGTCACGTACAACACTTTGTGACTTTTTGGGAGTATTAGTAATGAAGAATTGAAATATTGAATATAAAAACAATGTATTTTCACGGTCAGGAGCACACTCAAGGACGTGTTTTTTTATTTGGCAATTACTACTAGTTTATGCTGAAACGAGTTAAGTGTTTTGGAATTTGAATATTTATATATCAGTAAATAGCTAACGTGTTGTCTATTTTCAATTATTTGAATAAAAAGTTAGTATATTGCATCGAAACGGTTGTTATTAAAATGTAATAAAAATATAACTAATAAATAATCAAGCCAAATTTCATGCTTGAACGGAGAAATATCAACACGTACTACGATTTAGAGTTTGTAACTTTGGTTTGTATATTTAACGCATTGTAGGTGCTATGGTAATTATAAACTATCATTGAAGCTTTTAAAATACCCTAAATATGAATTTTGTATACTTGTGAAGTAGCTATAGCATTCGGTATAGGATTTTAGCAAATGCTCCTTTTACGGTCGAATGGTGAATCTGAAACCCAGCCAGTAACTATGAGCCGATAAATAAGGACTAAGAATAAACAAGTTGTTGACGTTTATGTATTCCTCTACTTGTGAGTGAAACCCGCTGTGTTAATTCGACCGAGACAGACAAATCAACCCTAGTCAGTCAATTCTCGAAAAAGATAGAAATAAGTAAAAGCTAGTTATGGACTTGATAACTTTACGTATACAGCACTTTAAAATTGAGAACAAAATTTTCAAGATTAGCAGAGAATGAGAGAGCTTACTAAACTCTAATAAATAGTATTCGATAATAATTCCAAATCCAGCATTGCATAATATATTGTTTCTCTAATCTAATATGTATTCACTTGTTCGATCTGATCTCAGTGGACATATCCTTTGTCACTATCGAATTTTTACTTTGTTGCGCATGATATTAGACACAGATGAAGCCTAGACTCAAACTTCTTGACTGTATGATATAAAACTAATAGAGAAATTGCCATTTTAAAGTGAAGTATGCGGAGTGAATATCCACTCGATGGTATGCATTATCAATTGGATTGCTTTTAACAGAAGGGAGGCAACGATTGCGTAGGAGTTTAGCTATAGTTTACAAAATATTGAGAAGTAGTCTAGTCACGACATATGATTTCAATCATCGACGAAGGTCATTGCGTATAACCATGCGGTTTGTCCAAGTTCAGACAATTTGTACAAGCAGATTATAATTTTTTTTCTGATCAAACATTTTGCTTTACGAAGTTCAAGTGTAATAGATCCTATAGTTGTCGAACCTTGAATGAACGTGACCTGAGGTAAGTTGGAAAAGTCTTACTTTGTGAACAATTATGAATAATATATATTTTTTCACTAAGGCAATAACTTGAATAATTTTATTAATCAATTTCAACTGATATAAGAAGTAATCTAATCCATAAAGATAGGACCACACGGCACACGCCAAATGGGCATTTTTTTAGGGAAAATGTCGCAACTATTTTTGTGCATCAAGGCAATTAGGAGAAAACCTTCAACGCATATTAGATTTTATAAAGAGAGAACGTCAATAAACGTGTGTCTTCTGTCTTCTATGCGTCAATATTTAGGGTACTGCCAGTTCTGATGCGTTTCAAGCGTTTTTTAATAAATTTTTTCACATTGAATTAGTGTTAAATCTATCACAAACGGTCATATTTAAAATAATTCGCCAACGAAGTTGAGTGGTGTCTTGTATTGCTCAAGTGGTCTCGATTTCTTGAAGTGGATGGAACAAACAGTGTCTTGGTTGAATTAATATTCCGTAGTCGTAAAATTGGCCAGTGTGGTAGTAAAGTCGTCATTTTAGGACGGAAGTACATTGCAAACTAACTTCACAATTTTTTACTGCAAAAAAAACAAGGTAATGGAGTGCAGTCAAGCAAAGTGACCGCATTTTTAGACATGCAGACGATGAGGTATTATAGATAAATAGATTGATTCGTTTACATAAAAACAGAAAAATTCGTTCTAAAATTGAGCAGAATCGCCATGATAGCGGCAATTACGCTATCATTCAAAGCGCGTGTATATTCTGATGGAATTTTTCACAAATTTACGACAAACTACAATACCATATCGTCACGCTAATAACCGAATTGCGTAAGTCATTTTTAGCAGTTTTGAGAAAAACGTAAAAAACTTCCTAATGATATTGTTATGCCATTGGAAGTCAATAATTTACCATGGTTCAATTTTTTGATCGTAGCCGGATTTAAGTTAATTTGTATGACGCAGCTAAGTGACGTCATAATGGCACACTGTGACTTAGGCAGAAATGTGTCTATGACTTGGGGACATACGCAATTTTGCAACTTTACTATATGCACCAGTCCTGGAAACTAAACATTCCAAAAACGAATGTAATTCTCATTATCTACAATGTCTAATCCCCAAAATAGCTAATCAGTTTCAAATACATTATTTTTTATGTTTAAAAATATATATTTCATCAATATAACACGTTCTGCACACCCACCGAAATAAGACTAAGATTAAATATAAAGAATAAAACAGCAATGCATCCAATATAAAAGTCAACCAAGGTGAATTGGACTCGGACAGTAAATATCAAAAGTGCACGTCTTCCTATACTGTAGTATAAATTCAAATTAATACGCATAAGCTAGAATCCGAGATGCAAAAACTCAAAAATACTTAGCAGAGGTTATTTTGCCTTTGTGACGTCACAATAGTACTGCAGTAACAATGATAATTCATTATGACGAAACAATTGCACAAATGTGCATGTCATACTAAAACTCCATTTTTATGGGTTTCAGAATTCTTAAAATAAAATCTGAGGTAACAGACAGGTGCGCAGCATTACATAAATACCTATTTTATAAAAAATAAAAATAAAAAAATAAAATGACTTACGCAATTCGGTTTTTAGCGTGACGATATGGAACTTGAATTTCGACATGATTCCTAGGATGACTTCAGACTACGCTTCCGGGTTCAGGTGTCCTCAGCAGAAATTAGTCAAGTGTCCCCAATACCACGAATTTTGAGGTTATGTCTATTTCGATCGACTGAGCACGATCTTCTGAGGTTTATATTACGCGGAAATCTGTGACTACGCTACATGGCGTGTGCAGCTGCGCACCAATGCATTAAGGATGCAGTCTTAAATACATAACTATGATGCAAATAATATGGTACTGTTTAGTTTCTGGCTAAAAGGAACGTAGAACTAAGAAATATATAAAGTTTACTCAAATTGGGTTTCAATGCGAGGAATATCTTGATAATATCGAAATAAAAAATGTTCGCTTGGTTTGTGAGGAAATCTAGTGGTTGAAATGTAACTGCTGTGGGCAACCCGTCTAGCGCAATTGGCTACATTAATTTGCTTTTCCATATTTGAATACAAAAATTTGCATTAAAGCTCTCTACTGACAGAATTTGTGATATGACCTGCAACAAATGCTATGGAGGTAACGCGTTGTTTATCCATCGTTCCACGTCTCTTACGAGACGAATTCTCCTGCGACTTAAGCATAAGGGCACTTGATTTGAACAAGCCAATCTGAGAGTTTATGCTCTACTTACAAATAATCGAATTTAAAAATTGAAGTCTTTTGTTTAAATTTTAGTTCATTTCTAAATATTTCTATTCTTAGATTTGCTCGATTATCTTCTCATATTTATATTCTACGTATATTTTTGATGAAATATCCAGAATATTAGCTGAAATAATATGGAAAAACGAACTTTTGCTGCTGCCGATTATGCGGTTTTTGGTTTAATGTTGGCATTATCTGCTGCTATCGGAATATTTTATGCAATTAAAGATAGAAGATCGAAAGATGGTACAGAAGGATATTTACTTGCAGGCAGGTAATGAAATAACCAAATCACAATATACGGGGAATATTCAAAATAGGATAGGATGGTTTCAGATAGTCGGTCATGTAATTCAGTGGTTTGCAACTTTTCTACACCGACGGACCGTAACATCTAATAAACCATCCTAAAAAAAGACGAAAAATTTTGAGATGAATTAAACAAAAATATTAACCTGTATTTTCCAAATGAAAGCAATGAATGTTTTTGCAGCGACTCCACGTCTAATACATAAAATCACAAAACAGTTGAAACAACAAATTTTTACGCAAGATGTTAAAATTATGCGCGGAAATATATAATTTTGTTACTTGTTGTAATTATGGGTCAGAAAACAAAAGGTACGGGTTTCAATGGCTGAGAATGGTGCATATGCAGCAGCGCGCCCAACCCGTGAGTCCGACAAATCGAGGGATCGCATAACATTCTTTTGTGTAGTTATAGGGAACCTATATTTTACAACTCAATATATGCTAATTGGAGTACTAATCATAATGGGATTGGAGGCTTTAATCGGACTTCGGACAAAACGGGGAATCGTCGGGAGTTTAGAGAAAGCAGTGGAACGTGCGCCCGGCATCTTGAGATCCGGAATAACAACAAGGTCTCGTTTTCTGCCGAAATTTGACAAATTCGATTAGACATAGTCATTGTACGAGATTATGATACGGCGCACGCCATTATGGAAAAAAGCTAGAATGCGAATTTAATTGTGTATACTACTAAAATATGACAGGTTTCTACATTAGCAATTATTCTGAAGGAAATCGAAGCATGAGAGTAAAATTATAGACTAATTAAATATGAAAGTAATGACAAGAATAAAAACATTAAGATATTCTTATTTTTAAAAGTCAATTTTTACTTATTTGGTATATGTCAAATGCAATACACATTATTTAGCAATTTTCTATAATTACTTAAAATTATGAATTATATCAGTGGTTCTCAATTTATTCATGTCATACCCTCGAGCTACGAAACATTCAGCCCAAATTGCTTTCTCTTTTAGCTGAAACCAAATTATGTGATAGTTTATATTTTACAACTTAATATATGCTAATTTGAGTAGTAAATATAATGGAATTAGAGACTTTGATCGGACTTCGTACTAAATGGGGAATCGTCAGAAGTTTTGACAAAGCAGTGGAACGTGCCCTCGCCATCTCTGAGATCCGGAATAACCGCCCTATCCGCACTATGGAAATACGATAGAATGATTATGTATTTCGAAAAAAAAATTAAAATAATTTTGAATTTAATTGTGTATATATATTACCACATCGTGTTATTGAATATTAGTAAATAATAAAATATGACTGGTTTCTACATTAACAATTATTCTGAAGGAAAATATGATAGTAAAATCATAGGCTAATTAAATATGAATGTAATGGCAAACATAAAAACATTGGGATATTCCTATTTCTAAAGGTCAATATGTTTACTCTTTTACTATATGCCAAATGAATGTAATGACAAACATAAAAACATTGCGATATTCCCATTTCTAAAGATTAATGTTTACTCTTTTACTATATGTCAAATGCAGTAATACACGTTTTGTAGTATATTCTGTAATTTCTTATCATCAATCATATCAGTAATTCCCAATTTATTCATGTAGCCTAAGTCACCCTCGAGCTAAAAAACGTTCGACCAGAATTTCCTTCCCTTTAGCTGACACCAAATGAAACGATAGCCTAATACATGACGAAACAGTTTTAGGGGGAACCGCGAGTGTTTGTTCGTGGTTGAAAAACATTTTACTAGCTACCAAACGCGCATTTAGATCGGACATACCTACGTCTTCCAGTCATGCCTTCGCATTTGTAGTATTGAATTCACTATCGTCAAGAACAAGAGGCCACGATGCGGATCTTTTGTACAAAGCCCCACCGCTCAAAAAAATAGTAAATATCCAATTAGGGTTAGGGCGAGGGCTAGGAATTCGTATTGCGCTGGATATTCATATTCTTAATCCATTCCGAAGCCGAACCCCAACTGGATAATTACTATTTTGTTATTCTAAACCGTGACGGGGGTGTTTTTCTCAAATCACACATTTTTGCATTAGTTGCGGGGGATATCTCATGAGGCCTATTGAATTTACTCAGCGTACCTTTCTATTTCATTCTAATGTTATATGTCATTTTTATTTTCATTTTTTCTGCTTATTTCAGATCGATGAGCATCTGGCCAGTTGCTGCTTCGCTTACCGTGAGTTTTATGTCTGCAATTACAGTGCTTGGTACTCCAGCTGAAATGTATTGGTTCGGAACAATGTTTTGGTGGTGAGTTTATTTATTTTTATTCTCGTTCCGAGGCTTAAATTCGAGATCCTAAGTATGGGATATAACTTAATTGAGCCCACAAATATAAATGTAATAAATTCTGATTTCATTACCCACAAATAATTAGCGTTATGTGCCAACAGACAAAAAAAAATTTTTACGTAAAAAAAATTTTCCGAGAGCTTTGATTGTGAAAAATTCACTGGAGCTGTTTCCCGGTTTGTTTGACTTTTAAACCGCTCGGAGTCGTGTGTCAATCGGGATTTGCTGTTGCAAAAAGTGCCTTTCAGAAAATCGATAAAGTGTCAGTAAGTCATGGCATTTATATGATCGTTCATTACTTTGATTAAAAATGCGCCTTTTTTACTTCTAAGTGAGTGCGCGGGACCTTTCTTTGAGCTAATTCTCTTTCAGAAGATTTTATCTTAGTACAACACTTTGTCATATCTCATAATTATTATTTTGTAGGCTGCTCCTTGTTTTTATCATTGTTGCCATCGTTGTTTCACAAGTATATATTCCATTATTTTATACTCTTGGGATAACAAGTACATATGAAGTAAGTTTTTTCTTTGCTTTCCTAATATTAGTCATAAAATGAAATATACTAAAAATGAAGAGACCAAAAATAATCTTTCATTATAGGTAGGATGTAGCTTTAATATTACAAACATTCTATTACTAGCATTTAGTTTTCTTTTTTTGAAGACAAACAAAATGTTAAATTTTTTTTAATTTTCAGTATTTGGAAATGAGATTCAATAGGCCAGTTCGCATTCTGGGGACATTTTGCTATCTTATTCAAAATGTTTTATACATGGGAATTGTTATATACGGACCAGCACTGGCGCTTAATGAAGGTATGTCATAAGAATATACTTTAATTAGTTGGAGTTGAATATCTAGAGTGGAGATACTTCGATGCTTTACTGTACAATAGATAAAAGTTTGCCTGGGCAAGATTGTCAGAAACTGAAATCATTTTTATCATTTAACATGGAATAATTTAAATAGTAAAATAAAAAACAAACCATATTTACTCCAATGTTAAGATAATTATAACAAGTTCAATGCAATTTTAGATTAAGAGTAGGACTGGAAAATCCCGCAGACAAAAATTTGTTGTTAAGATATAAAGTCTGCAGACGCATTTCAAATCCTTAACTACTAGATTTAAATTAATAATTGTCTTTATTATTTGTAATTATTTTTGCCTCTAATATTTTCTAATTAGCTTTCTCATGTAATGCATCACATACAGAAATCTAATTTAAAGACAACTTTTTGCAGTTACCGGATTTGATCTATGGATGGCGGTATTTACGACAGGACTTGTTTGCACCTTCTACACGACTTTGGTAAATAACGTACAATTTTCAAAATAAGTTGCAATTAGGCTTTCCATAATATACTACCACCATGACAAAGCTTTAGAATTTAATTTGAATTATAGGGAGGCCTAAAAGCAGTTTTATGGACGGATGTATTTCAAGGTATCGTGATGTGTGCTGGATTTATTGCTGTTATTATAAAAGGGAGTGAATTGGAAGGTGGATTCGGTAATGTCTGGAGAAAATGTGAAGAAGGTGGCAGAATTGACTTTCTACGGTATGCATTTTAAAATGTGCTCTTTTGGCGACATATTTTTACCGATCAGTAACCTAATGTAATAAGTAGAAAAGGAGGATTTCGAAACTATCTGTTGCTTCTTGAATTGGGTATATTTGCAGCAAAGATGTGAAACATCACATAGGTATTTTTGTTTTAGCAACATTTATCTAAATTATTTCAGTTTCGACACAGACCTGCGCATCCGACATTCATTTTGGAGCATGGTGCTCGGTGGCGCCGTCTTGTGGGTCAGTGTGTATGGTGTTAATCAATCTCAAGTTCAACGTTATTTATGCTGCAAATCTGTTAAACGGGCATCCCAGTGAGTATATAGATATAAGATATAGGAATCAAATTCGGCACCGAAGATCAAAATTTACTTGGGTATTCTGATATATATTATATATGTATAATATTTATAGTAAAGTATTCAATAACTTCCTTTCATGGGATAGGCTACTTTGTCTTTACGTTTTGCAATACCGTTTTATTCTATTCTAGAGCACTATATCTTAACGTTGCTGGACTATATATTGTCGTCAGCCTCGCTTGTATGACTGGACTCGTAATATATGCTCGATATTCAGCATGTGATCCAATAAATCAAGGGTGTGTTGATAAAAAAGATCAGGTAGGCTATATTTTTCGTGTGTAATTATATGGCAGTCAATCGATTTTTCTATATAATGGTCACTTGTTGTGACCAACCGCTTCTGAACGATTTCTCAAGCCTAAGTTTAGAAGACCGCGTGAAACAAGGCACAGTGGACATTGGTTCAAAGATACAGCCGCCCAAATCGCAGAGAGTATTATTGTTGAATAACTCATCCTGACCTTCAATTAAAATTTAACTTTGTAAAACAAACAGTCGAGCTTAATAAATTGCTTATTCGTAGTCCGCCGATTTCAAAGATATTAAATGCTATTATGTTTTATTAAATTTTACGATCTATCACACTTGCCAATTTCTTTTTGTTCCAGCTATTCCCATATCTTGTTATGGATATTCTTCATGATTATCCAGGCGTTCCGGGATTATTTGTTGCTTGTGTATTTTCTGGAAGCTTGAGGTGAGTGTGATGTAGAGAGAATTGCTCATTGATTGTGTTTTGGATTTACGATAATTCATGCAAATACGTATGTTAAAAATACAAAGGTTGGAGGCACTTATTAGAAGAGAAACACTCGCTAAATTGTATACTGATCTGTTTCATGTGATCATTTCGAATTTATGAGACCCAAAAAATCAGTGGCGGCGCGTGGTCATTTTGACAACCGGGGCAAGCTACTGCGGGACCAAGTCACCCCCATCTACGGGAACAGGATGAGCGCTGTAAGTTCTCCCATCATTTTATGAGTATAAAAACCATTCCATCGGTAACAACCAATCGGCAAAAGCGACAATTTTTAACGATAAGAAAGTGTCTCTAAAACCGGTCCAAGTCAAGGGATTAATAAATATAGACATAGTTTATTTTGAAACCTCTTTCAAAAGGAAAGGCAATATTTACCCAGATAAATACAATGACATATTAACAGAAACTTCGGGAAAGCAGACAAAACCTAAAATAAGGTTTAAAACGTTACTATGAAGAAAGGAAAGCAAGGATAAGGACATGCGTCGCTCACTCATAGATATATATGCTGCTAGACTTCTATTGCTTGAACATATATGCAATACGCCGCGGTTTCTTGGAAGCAAAATGCTCAATAACGCGCTGATTAAAGTCATGCATCCCAGAAATAACGTCTCTGTGAATGGATAAAACAGCCAAGGAATTTAATCTATCTTGCTTCATTGTGTTTCTGAGATACGTTTTAATACGCTTCAGCGTGCTGAATGTTCGCTCAGCGTCGGCGGAAGAAATAGGCGTCGTCAAAATGATGTCCAGAAATTTTGCAGACGCCGCAAAGGTAGTTACTAGAGTGTTATCTATGAGGAACCCATAAAGCGCGCAAGTTGAGGTGATGTTCAAAAAAGTTTGATTGGTGTATATACATCGCAATTCATTTTCCAATTTACCCACGTTTATCATGGGGTAAAATTTGGAGACAGTAGCCAACAAATGGATGGGAAATTGACGTGCAAATTTTGAAAAATTTTCGGGGTTCATCAAAGAGAACGCGGCAAGGTGTTTAGTGCGCAGACGATCGCCTATTTGATTCACCGGAATGTCACAGCATTCCTTTGCAGACAAAATCAACCGCTGCGTTGTTTGCCCGCGGCGTAAAGAAGCACTCCATTTGTCGTCGTATTTTATTGTTTCCCGGATACGAGATACAGCATCGCAGAAGTCTGAAATACACGACTGCACAGACGCTCTGTCCATTAGCCTTGACTGCAATGCGTCGTATAATACATTCACGTGATAGAATATTGTGGAGAAAAAAGCGAGAAAAAATGAAAACTCACCATCTTCTAGCAGACGCTTTAGACCTGCCGCCTCCCTCACAGAGCGTTCGTACCAAACCGGAGAGCTCTGAATGTCATTGAAACACTCAATGAGCTCAGACCTAATTTCGGACACGCCCTGCACCACGCGTGATTGGAAGTTCGAACGTGTTGGTGCACAAGCTGGGAGACGGCGGCTACATATCTGGCGAAGGAGGTCAGAGCGCTTCGTCGAAACGGACAAAAATGAAGAAAACCCCGAAACATTTGCAAAAAATATACGGACGAGAGGGGTATCAAGACACATATTTTTAATAACGAGGTTAAATTGGTGTGCATAACAATGTAAAAAATGCGCATGAGGAAAATCTTCATTTATATAAACTTGAACACCATGTTTCGACCCACTCATGACTGCCGCGCCGTCAAAAGTTTGAGCTATCAATTTTGACTTCGCGTTGTAAGGCTGTAACACTTCTTTCAGTACAACCGATATCCCGCAAGCCGTGCGATCAACGATTGGTACAAAGCTGTGAAATCTCTCGGTAGGTTTACCATCTTTCACAAACCGAAAAATCACAGCCAGTTGGAAAACGCACGTGATGTCAGTTGTCTCGTCAGACTGAATCGAAAGGAACTGGCAATTCTCAATTTCCAGAGCCAAATGTTGTAAATAAATTTTATACATTGAGTCGAGCAAATCATTTTGGATATCCTTAGATGTCCCTTTCGAAACAGTTGCGGCATCAAGATGATCTCTCAATACTGTATCTAGGGATGCGGTGTATTCCACCATATCCAAAAATACCCCTCTATTAGAAGAGCCAGCCCATTCATCGTGCCCACGGAGGGACAGCTCGTGACAACCAATGAACTCCAAAACATCTATCAATCGACCGAGAACATGGGCGTTTTTCTTGACGTTTTGGTTGTGCCGACGAATAGAAACCGCGCGTCCTTCATTCAACTGTGCTGCAATATTAACATTTCCGAATGTTCGGTATTTTACTGCATTGTCCAGATGCTCCATAGAAGATTGATGATCCCTGGCACGCTCGGAAAGATGTTTAAGATCTCTAAAACCAAATTTACACCAACGTGAGTCACGGGCGGTAGCAAAAAGTAGGCAATAAAAACAAAAAAGTGCATTTTTGTCCTCGCTGTAACACAACCATTCGTGTTTTTTATACCAAGTTTCTGCGCAGAATGTACGCCGACGCTTTCCTCCGTCCTGGGATTGTTTCAGTGAACAATTTTTTGGTTGATAAGGCCCAAGACGTTGTACCTCTAATTTTTGTTCCAGCGGCAGCTGCGAAAACGGAGTGCGAAGTAGTGCATCAACCTTATTCATTATGAGGTCTAAGGCTAAGAAATGCGAAGCCGGAAAGAAGTGAGGAGCTCAAAAGGAATGTGGAAAATCGAAAGCAAATGGACTAAAGGTCTCTAACTGATTCAAATAGCGAAACAAGCGACAAAAACGAGGCGAGGAAACTATCAACTCTTCAAGCAACCAACGAACGAGAAGGAATGCGTGAATATGTCAACACGTTGTTGTAAGAAACGTCGGCATTGTGTCGTCATAATTTCGGGGCTAGCCCCGATCGGCCCCGATGATTTAGTAAAAGAAACAGAAAACAAACGAGACAAACGCGGCGAGTGGAAGATAAAAGAGAGAATACGATATACAATGAGCAACCGGGGCAAAATCGGCGTCGCCCCGTCGACGTTCGGCGAAGGCTTTGCGAGCGAAAAATGAACCCTGTCGGGAGAATATGGCTAGTGTAGACAGTCTGTACAACCGATATTGAGGTATTTTTCGAATATTTTTTATTATACCGAAAAAACAACCGGGGCATTACCCCGGTTGGCCCTATTGACGCGCCGCCACTGCAAAAAATATATTACCCGTTAGTTTAATTCAAGAAAGTTAACATTAAATGATCACCCCAAAATACTGCGAGGTCATATTTAACAAGATTTAGATCCAAGAACGTGTTACAGATAAGAACATTGGAATAGACTTAATGTGGACTTAACGCGGGACTATATATGAGACCATTCCTATGTATATGTTGTAGTTTTAGGTATTTGACCTCAAATAAGATTTCACACAGATAATGCATTAAAGGCTAAACTATTATTTTTATTTAGCACCGTATCGTCGGGAATCAATGCAATGGCAACTGTAACAATAGAAGATTTAATCAAACCTTTCGCAAAGTGGAGTGAGAGAACATACATGTGGATTACAAAAGGTAAGTCGAACACTAGACATTAGAAAGTCGCAAAACGTATAATATGAATTATTCTTGCTCTGTCACATTAAAATATATAATTTATATGAGTTCATAAAAAAAATTGATGCTTAACCTGAATAAAACGCTTACCCATTTTTGAGATAAAACTTAATGTATAAAAAATATCATATCATGTGAAAAAGATTGATACTCAAATTTTCTATTTTCATCAATACTATATATATTACAATCAAAAAGATGATAAAAGACGCTTGTAAATAGTAATAAGATAATGACATGCCGCAAGCTTGATAAAATTCCGAAAACTCCCTTCTCTTTCAAATTTAGTATTTGGCATAAACAAGTAACACTCAAATAGCATTCAAGCATTTCATTTAAAATACAGGATTAGTCATTCTTTTCGGCTTGTGCAGTATCGGTGTAGCAGTACTGGCATCCTATCTTGGAGGAATCTTACAAGCTGCATACAGTATCTTGGGTATGATCGGTGGCCCTTTGATTGGATTATACACGCTTGGAGTTTACATTCCATTCTGCAATTCAATTGTAAGTATAGGACATTTAAAAGCATAGCTATCTGGTAATACATATGTGAAGATTTATTCAAAGTGCATGTTTTTAATATTAGAGATATTTCAACTATATAGCAAATGAGAACGAAAGACGCATTATATTTAAAGGTTACGATGTGTACTGGGGTCTGGTGTAGTTTACTACCACATGTCCTAGTTTGCTTGGCTCAGATATGCATGGATCGTTATGCTACGCCCCCTAGACGTACTTGTGGTACTAAACTACACTGAACCCGTGTACTAGCTAGGCCACAGCTTAGCAACCAAAACTGTGAGTGAAACGAAAGAAAGTTTCTGTGTTTCTCTTCTCTCGGGATCATGCTCAATCAATCACGTTTACAAAATACTAATTGATAATTGGCATTTTTCGAATTTGAATACTTTTCGCAATTTCAGTACAGCACATCACGTATATAACATCTATGAGCAAAGATAGCTTGCAAGAGTTCATCACAAATTGAAATCAGCGTCTTACTTTACTATTGGCTGTAAATCATCTTTGAAAATGACCACAATTTTTTTTACTACAGGGTGCATTCACAGGCCTTGTTGGAGGGGTAGTAATGACAACATGGATGTATATTGGAAGTCAATCTTATAAAGCAGGGCCAGAGTTCACAAGAGAATTGCCACGAAATACTACCAATTGCCCTGCATATTGCAACACAATCATTGGATCGGAGAATAGTATAAATGCAACAACAATGCGGATGGAAGTGTCAACAGCCACAAATTATATCTATAACACAACCGCTTTTGACAACACTGAGGTCGAAGAACCGGCGATTGCGGAATTCTACAAGATTTCTTATCATTACGTAACATGTATTGGAATGGCGTGTACAGTGATTCTCGGAATGATTGTTGGACTTATGTCTTGTAAGTTATCTTACCATTGCATTTGGACTTGCTGCTAATAGGTCTATATGTAGTGGGGACGGAAAGGGTTAATTCAATTTTAAATTTGTATACCTGAAATTGAAAAACAACACAATGAATAGTATCTGCCTAGTGACATACTTTAGATTAAAATAAACTGCTTCTGCTGTATAATCTGCGATCATGTCACTATTTTTCATCTATTTTGTGCTTGAAAGAATCATGCAGCTTTCCGTTCGTTCTCGGCGTTTTTCCAAGGTGCCTCAAAGGCGGCAAATATAGTCGATTACGTTGTCTCCTGCATATGAACTCATGCTCATTATTAATACATAAAGCCATATACTAAAGGTATCATGGCCCTTTCAAAAGCAAATTCATTTTGATATAGATTGTGTTTAAGTTTGCAGAGTATGATGCACAAATTTTGGTCAAAAATCGCAATAAACTATTTCTATTTAAGGTGGTTGGCGCCAACGAGTAACCGTTGATCCAAATCTGATGGCTCCATTTTTTGATCACAAGATGTTCTGTTGGATACCTGAAAAAATTCGATACTATTTGAGGTTCTGTGTTAAAGGTAAAGTTCCACCAAAACCCGAGCAAGAACTTTACGATATATCACGTGGAGTTTACACAGAGGTAATTCGTACATTTTTGTGTGTTAAATCTAGATTTGAATTTTTTAAATAGCAATGCTCAGGCGCTCAATCAAAACTTACATCGCAAGGTTTCGCTTTTCTGACAAGGATAGAATATGAATTATATCGTTGTTGGGGTGAAACAAAGAAATACCCATTGGTATTTTTATGAATGTATATATTGTTCGAAATAATCTTATTGTAATGTATTCGAAAACAAATTGCAAAAGCAGGAGTGGCATTATTATCAAAATATATATTTATTATATTAAAACTGATCTGGACTCCAGAAAGCTTCTCCATCATAATGACTAAATTTTCATGATTATGAAAATATTTATTAGCATATTCGAATGAGTTGAAATCATTGAGACCAAGTAACGAGTCACTATTATTAAACAAAGAGAAAAAAAATTGATTTTAAAGTCAGCCCTATTAAATATTTTTCAAAAATACAAAATAGCACTATACAATAATTTCAAAATATAATATTTACCCCCTTATTTATTTGTTCAGAATTCACTGGCGAATGTCACCGCTTCACCTAACGGCGGATACGAAAACCAAATTCGTATGGAAGAATGATATGCAGTTGAATCCAATAACAAAACATCTTAAACATTTTAGATATTATAATGAATTCGTCAGATATTTCTGACACCGTCAACCAAATATTGCTAAGTTTGCCAAGATTTGTATACTTTTTTTACTGTATTTTTGTAAATAGAACTAATACGACAAGTTGAATTTTTTGAAGGAAAATATGTATTGTATGATCCAACTGATATGTCGCTTAGCTTGCCAGTTTATTTGTAAAATAATGCAGATTTGTGTCTCGTTTCGGCAATGGAAATAAATTATTGGGTTCTCAAGACAGTTTAAACAACATCTTATAGAATATGTTATGGCTCCTGTTATTTAAACTTTGAAACGTTCGATAATATTTGTTTTTACATAATTAAAAAAAAACTGACGAGTGACGGAGGCCCGATTTCTCCGCGAACAAAAGAATATTCAGAGTTTAAGACAGGGCGTTTTTCTATCTTTCGCTAGCAGGTTATGTTCTGGATGACGCTTCGTAGATAATATGATAGATATTTGTCAATTCCATCGAATAAGATTTGCCACTTATCACTGGTAGGACAGTTATGACCTAAATATACTTGAATTGTTTAATTACGGTTTGAAAAATTTGCAAATATTCATCACACAAACACCGAAAGACGGTACTGAATAATCATCTTCTTTAAGTCTACTTTATCCTCTTAAACCAGGGGTGGACAATTACTTTTCTGAGTGGGCCAGTTACAGATAATAGACTTTGTGCGTGGCTGGAGGCTCAAAACTCTATATGAAAAACTCTAATAAAAAAAAAACAGTTTATTTACAACAGCTAGATTAACGTTTATACAATAATAAGAAACACAAGGTAACAATCGGTCAGTCACTATGACTTTATTTTCATCGATATTTCCGACCTAAATTTATATTCATAAAAATCATAGTCCGAATGGACCGAATCCGGCCCGCGAGCGTAATTTGCCCCCCGTTTGTCTTGAAGCTGCATACTAAAGTACGTGATACAACGACTATTTACAAATAAAATCACCAACTTGGATCTATTCATTCGCCTTGTTCAATCAGTACGACAGGATCATTGGCAAATTTATTATTTAAGGGCCCATGGCTTCATTGTAAGTTGTTGGAAGAATAACCCCGCCCAAAACAAGATTATACCAACACCTTCACGCATATTTGATCATTCAATTAATAAGGACGCGTAAACGGTATTGTTAAAACAACACACTCACTTACCATAAAATTGTTAAACAAGTTTTTACACTTTGCGAAGACAGTACTTTATTGTCTGTGACAATCGCTGGAATATATAGCCGTAGATTTGTAGTGTAATGATCGCTATCCGCAATTTATTTGAATGTTCGAGCAAAAGCTCGCCCGAGTGCAGGATATTATAAGGAGAATTAAACCCGACATAGTGTTTGCTTGTGGACAAACCGGGACACACTTGACGAGTCCTGGAAATAAAAGCCAAGTTAGACGATATCGAATTAGCTGAAATGTGGTGTTGGTGAATTTTGATCATGGGGTAACAAAAAGGCTAGAAAAACAATTACTAGAAGAGTATGGGCCAAGTTAGCACAGCTTAGCTAACATTCAGCCAAAGTTAAGTCTTCGAACAAGGAATTGGTTTCTTCAGTGAAAAATAATGTCAATTAGGGGTTTTCTACTTTTGTGGTCGCATTATAATTATTATTCACGTCATTAGAAGAAACACCGTATCAGGGTCTCGTGAGAAATTCTCTAGCGGTTAATTCTCATTTCGAACAGACACAGATAACTTCACGGTAAATCGCATTTTATATGATAATAGAAATAATGTATTTGTACTGAAAGAAATACAGGAGAATAGTGTGGTCGGGTTCTGATCGGGAATTTTTCCATATCGTGCTTGGTAATTGACATAGAATAAAACTATAAATGACCCGGATGTAGGCTCGTGAAATTACCATATATACATAACACATTTGATGCTATGTGAATATAGATCTTGGGTTTGTGTATGGAATACTATAAATTCCTCGACCAGCTCATATTATCAGGAAAAATGAATACTCCCACGCCAAGACCGATATGTATAATTGTTTTATTCTAATTGTTTTATTGATCAACGTAATTAATATACTGGCAGTTGCGATTATCGACGAAAGAAACAAAGTGCTAATATCCATTACAAGTGATTTAAGAGGACTAGGATTTAAGGATAGGCATTGGATAACTGATAGATATTCTATAGTGATTATTTTTACCACACGTAGATTGTTTGTAGATTGGTCTGGTTTGTGTATTATAACCCCAGCATTGACTGACAATAATTTTGTCTTGCGTTCATTAACTCGAACTGTCTATCTGTCGATAGCCTTCGGCTGTAGTAAAGAGACATTTGAAGACACCTTATGAGTTTATTGGATATCGAGAAGTTGATAATTGCTATTGTGGGGATAATTAATTCTGTTTTTTCATGAGTTTCCTACGAATTGGGCCAATTTGGTGTAGTTTTGTAGTTACATAACAACTAATTGGCACAATTCCAGCAATTCGGATAGTTGACTGGAATTCAGTCTAAGCTATGTTTTTTATCACACTATGTTAAAATTTTTTACTTGAATCAATAGTTGAGATTAATTTTACATGTTTTACAAAGAGCAGTTTACAAGTATGTTGACTCATTTTGTAAGAAATTTTGGAATAAAGAGCTACAAATTTGCGAACAACATAAAAAATTATTGGGTTAATTGACTTTATACGACATAACTCGTATTGTTATAGCTTTGGCGGTGGCCGAAAACCAAGGAAATATTCTCAGATTACTTTGTACTAATCATGGATACTTTATCATCGTTATATTTGCTATATTACTTAACACGCATCAGATGAGAGTGAGAATGCGTTTCTTTATCTAAACACAATTCATATCAGATATACTTGGTTAATTAAAGCAGTCACGATTATTAGAAAATTTCAAGATGAGCTTCACACAAATTACACCTTCCGTTACTATAATCTTGTGAATAGAGAGTGAATTGCAAATGCTATTGACGATTACAACGATATTTTTTCTAAAGTGACGTGTTTGAAATATCCGAATATTTCGCTATCGCGCAAATAAATTGGTTGAAAAGTTACGATCTACTTCAATAGATTTTATGCTCTAGTTACGAAGCTTTAAATGTATAGTTCTAGGAATGGAACTATACATGATATTTCATTTATGGCTAAAGTAGTAAGAATAGCAGCAATGAGCGTGGCGATTTCATTGTTCAAATTATAGCATAGCATATTCAAATAATTCAACTTAATGGATAGTTTACTTAAAATAAGATAACAATTTACGTGGGCGTTGTGATCATATTAATTTTAGTAGAGAGAAATACGATCAGTAGTTGAAAATGCAGATGAGAGATTTTGATGTACATGACAAAATCACGAATTTGCTACACCAAAAAATCATTCACGATTTCCGTCATGCACAACTGCGGCCATATACATAGAACATTTGATGTTATGTGAATATAGATCTTGGGTTTGTGTATGGATACTACGAATTCCTCGACCAGCCCATATAAAATAATAATGTAGATTTGTGTCTCGTTTCGTCAATGGAAATAAATTATTCGGTTCTCAAGACAGTTTAAACAACATCTTATAGAATATATTATGGCTCCTGTTTTTTAAACTTTGAAAAGTTTTTTGAAAAAAACTGACGAGTGAAATTGTGGTAGAAATCGAAGACCCGATACTTGCGCAAACAAAAGAATATTCAGAGTTTAAGACAAGGCGTTTTTCCATCTTTCGCTAGCAGGTTATGTTCTGGATGACGCTTCGTAGATAATATGATAGATATTTGTCAATTTCATCTGAATAAGATTTGCCTTATGATCTTATCACTGGTAGGGCAGTTATGACCTAAATATACTTGAATTGTTTAATTATGGTTTGCAAAATTTGCAAATATCCGGTACACAAACACCGAAAAATGGAACTGAATATTTATCTTTTTTAAGTCTACTTCATCCTCTTAAACCAGGGGTGGGCAATTAATTTACTGAGTGGGCCAGTTACAGATAATAGACTTTGTGCGTGGCTGGAGGTTCAAAACTCGATATGAAAAACTATGAATAAAAAAAACAGTTTATTTACAACAGCTAGATTAACGTTTATACAATAATAAGAAACACAAGGTAACAATCGGTCAGTCACTATGACTTTATTTTCATCGATATTTCCAACCTAAATTTGTATTCCTAAAAATCATAGTCCTAATTTCAGCAGACACAAGTGGGCCGGGTGAAACTGTTCGGTGGACCGAATCCGGCCCGCGGGCGTAATTTACCCTCTCTTGTCCCAAAGCTGCACTAAAGTTCGTGGTATAACGACTAATTACAAATAAAATCACCAACTTGGATCTATTCGCCTTGTTCAATCAGTGCGACAGGATCATTGGCAAATTTATTATTTAAGGGTCCTTGGCTTCATTGTAAGTTGTTGAAAGAATAACTCCGCCCAAAACAAGATTATACCAACACCTTCACGCATAAAGATCGATAAACTCGAGCAACACTGAGCGAGAGAAAATATCTCACGAGAATATCGGTCAGAGACCGAAGATTTATCGATAGAAAGTTAGGGGATCCCCCAAACGCTAATTATACGACATAATTCGCCCAAAATCAATAGGCTTCTGGTACGAGATATGATGAATGCACATGCAAAATCTGCAGCAGATCTAATCTCGCTTTCGTGAGATATCGCGTGCATCTAACAGACAGACAAATATCAACATACCGTATTTATTCGCAAATACGCCGAGTTTAAAACTCAAAAAAAAAAGTTGCACAACTAAGGGACCGTATTATTGGCGCATGACTCAAATGGCACCAAAAAATCGGCTCCTTCGCGCATCGAGACTTTGCTCACGCAACGAAATGATATCATGCTGACTTGCCGGTAATTGCAACAGCTACAAACCATGCTTAATTCTCACGATAAAGAGCGTGCACGCACACACGCGATCGCTTGTCTAGGTATGATTGTCTGATCATAAACGTGACGGCTTGTATTTGATTAAATTTGATTGTATCTTTTGCATAAGAGCAACAGCATTGATCTACCAGCCGTCTCGTGGTCAAAACGTTATCATTTGTGCACAAGTAAGAATCAGATAGAAGTTTCAGGTAGAATAATACTCAAAGCATTAATTCTTAACAATAAAACTGTAATTTCAATCATTTTGAACAACCATTTACGGTAACTGAAAGGTTGAAATAACAT